CAAGTGGGTAATTGATTGTGCTGTAGCTGTAAAGTTTTTGCTGTAATTGTGTTGGCTGTAGCTGTAATGTTTGTTACTGTAGAATTTTTGTTGTAAGTGAACTGGTTGTAGCTGTAAGTTTTTGGACGTAGGTATTTTCAAATAAAAATATAATATTTATAATAAAATTTTATTTTTACTTTTAAAGTAAATAAAACTGTTTATATTATTAATTAAAATTAAAATACAAACAATAAATATTTTTGTAAAAATCCTAGTCAAAACACAAAAATCTACGTATTCTTTGATAATTTTATTTTTGGAACTTATCTTTGTTTTTTATTTTTTGAATTGTTGTTGATAATTTCTATTTTCATATTTATTTAATATTAATGTGAATTAAAACTCTTACCGCCAAGAAAATAGGGCTTTAGAATTTTACTCTACTACAGCCTAAAGAAAAAAAAACATGTAGCTTTTTAAAAAGAGATAATTGGCCAAAAGACAAAGGTTTTGGAGTCTAGTTAGTTTTTCATTTTTTCTTGTCGGAGTTCATAACAAAAACAACATTAGCCCACTTTTCTCCCAAAACTAACCCTACTCGCTTAAAGTGTTTTGCAAGAGATGGTCCATTACGTCAGACAAACGACTTACGGCTCAATATCAAAATAAACACATCAATAGGTGTTGGATATCCAAAAAACTAAGTAGATTTATGTATACAAATGTTAATGACGTTCTATCTACGTGTTTAGATGTATACAAATGTTAATAACCTTCTATCTACATGTTTATATGTATAAAAATGTAATAACGCCCTATGTACGTGTTTACATATATACAAATGTTAATAATGATATATATATATATACGTATTTACATGAATACATAGATCTAATAATTTAAAACTATAATTACTTTTAACGCTCTATTTATGTAGTTACATGTGTACAAATGTTAAAATGGTGGAATATATGTTTGTAGCGTGTTAAAATTGCTCCAATTCGAAAAAACAACAATTATTGTTAGTTTGGTAAGCATCAGTTCATGTGCTAAGCATTTAATGTTTGTCAGTTCATTCTTTCTCTCGCCTAAAAGTCAAAGCGCCCTCACACGCGCATGTAACAAAAATCAACAGGTTTTTCTGTAATTCTTTTGAAAACAAAGGTCATTTGGAGCGTTATTTTTTTGTTCGTCTCCAACAAAATCGACTTTTGTCGATTTCCTAATTACACTTTCCATTTTTGTCTCTGCACCAATTGTTCCATTAAAAAACGACTACAACACGATTGGCATATAATTTAGGTTTTAAGAAAAATTATGACTATAAGTTGGACTTACATACCAACCAATCAACCCCAAAGTCAGTCAATTTTGGTAATGTAAAACCGGTCCGACCACTATCAAATTAGTCACCGGTTCAAGATTAATTATATTTTATATTAAAATTAATAATTGTGATCTTCTTCTTCTCTTCTTCATCAATCCTCTTTCACAATTCAACATTTCTGATCAGATAATTTTCTTTCTCCGTATAATTTTCCCAGGTCAGTTTTTTCCTCTCCTACTTTCAAATTCGTATGATTTACGAATCTTCTTCTTCTTCTTCGATATGGATGTTTTTCAGATATTTTCATTTGTTTAATATCGAATCACTTTTCCGAATCAGTGAATATAATTTCCCCTAATTTACTTGAATTTAGGGTTTTGCTTAAATTTGTTGCAGATTGACTCGTTGATCCGTGTTGTTGTTGTTCATCGTTTTCATACTGAATCATTTTCTATTCAGACCTTCGTGTAAGTAACAACATCTCCTGGGATGATTAGCTACTAGTGAGTGAGATATAGGTATCTAGTGAAAAAGTACTTAGCTTCTTGATAGCTTTTGTTCCATGTTAGCTGCTAAATCTGAGATTCTATTACTGTGTTGTGCGATTAGAGTTTTTAACTTGGGTCTGTTGGATGAAGAAATCTGGGAATCTGATTGCTTTAATCTAGAGATATTGAAGGTTTAGTGAAGAAATTAGCTTCTTGATAGGTTAGAGATGATTCGATTTGGTTTTTATTTCTTCTTTGTTTGAAAAAATCTCAAACTCATATACCTCTGTTTGTGACATTAGAGTTCTAATTTGAGTCTGTTGGATGCTTCTAACAAGACGATTATGGGTTTCTTTGGACGATTCTAGTTGCTTTGCATTTCTTCTCGATTTAATGTTTTCTTCTATTGAGATATTAGGATCTTGACTTTGGTCTGTGTGGTCATTGATACAGAAAGGAAGCACTTGTCCGTGTACCATTCTCTTCTCCATAGATTGACTTTCTTTTAAGAGAAAAGATGATGGAGGTCAAATTATGGAATGACAAGCGCGAAAGAGACATGTACGAGAATTTTGCAGAGCTTTTTGCAATCATTAAAGCCACAGAGAAGCTCGAGAAAGCTTATATCAGAGACTTAATCAATCCTAAGGAGTACGAATCTGAATGCCAGAAACTCATTGTGCACTTCAAAACACTATCTGCTACACTCAAAGACACGGTACCAAACATTGAAAGATTTGCAGACACATACAAAATGGACTGTCCAGCTGCTCTATACCGACTCGTGACATCAGGTGTTCCCGCCACAGTGGAACACCGAGCTACTGTAACAGCGTCTACGTCGAACTCTGCATCCATTGTTGCTGAATGTGTACAGAATTTCATCACATCGATGGATTCTTTGAAACTAAACATGGTGGCTGTCGATCAGGTTTATCCTCTCTTGTCTGATCTATCGGCTTCTCTCAACAAACTGAGTATTCTACCGCCGGACTTCGAAGGGAAGACGAAGATGAAAGAATGGCTTTCGAGGTTGTCTAAGATGGGAGCAGCTGATGAGCTTACGGAACAACAGTCAAGGCAACTTCACTTTGATCTGGAGTCATCATACAACTCTTTCATGGCAGCTTTGCCTAAAGCTGGTAATTAAAACCAATGTAGGTTTGGCTTCTTGTTTATGTGTGCATGTCTTAGTTTTCATCTAGTTTTTAGTGGTAATCCAAAGACAATTTTGCACGTTTGAGGAGTTGAATGTGCTTGTGTGTACCATATTTTGGTTATATGAAAGTTTTATCTAAACCAGATTAACCAGATTACAGTTTTTACAATTGATTCATTACTCTCACGGGACTATATGATTACAGTTTTGTTTCAGTGGAATAGGATACTGTGGAATGGATCATTCCATTTGTTGACGTTGTGTGGACCAAATTCTAAGTCGTTGGGCTTAGTTCATACAATTAAGAGATACACTAGTTGCCAAATAAGCTCCGACGTCTTCAAAAAGGGATCGATAGATCCACTGGTAGGATTGATCCTTCAAAACGCATGCAACACATCACATATTCACCCCTAGATATAAGGGTATTTGATCATTTGTTTGACTAGTTTTCTTCCCTCTCTAATTACTCCGTATTTTATGGATCACCAAACAAGACATGCACTAACCTATATATGTATACCGCGTATGGAAGAATTTCGACCAACAAACAACAAAATTGCCAATTTCAAAAACAAAATAACAAAAATATTTGTTCCTAAAAAAACATCAGAACGATGTCATCATCACAGTTTGCTATCTTTTGCATCATCCTGATTGCCTTATTTCCTCTTTATGAATGTATGCACATGCCATGGATATATAGTTTCGTTTTTGTTTATCATTTTTCATCATCATCATCATATATATATCATCTATAAACAAAATTTATTGGTTTTGTTTGTTAAATAGGTGTACAAAGAGAAGGTCTTGAAACGATCAAGAAAGGTGAAAAACAATGCATAAGAACAAAATGCAACGATGGTAGTAAAGGCCTATGTTATTGTTGTACCTCCTTAACTCCGATGAAATGTTTCTTTCAAGAAGCACGATGTGTGCAACGCTGCAATTGGCGCTAGAATTTAGTTTTACTAGATTAAACTAAATATATCTAATTCAAAATTTATTAAATAATCCTAATTTTTTACACATTTTGAAGTATTTGATATTTGATTATGTACACCCTTATTTTGAAATAATTGTAAAATTACAAAGTCTCAATATGATTATAATGTATTAATATAATTTGAAATTTTATCATTCATAAGCATATAATATTATGAAATTTTTTATTTGAGATCGACTACTTAGATTGTTGTATAGATTTTGAATATAATTATGAGAAATGGCACATATACAATCAATTAATTACTTCCTATCGCCTATATAAATAGTCTTACTATTTTTATCTAATGTGAAAATAATCTTTTAAAGACCTCTAAAACCAAGAAATTGTCTAAAAATGCTCATAGTTCATACCTACGCCACATTAACCTGATCATACCTAAACACGGTGAATCATCATAATTCACACGATTATACATAAACTCTCATTTTCTGTGCTCCATCACTTTGACTATCCCAAAGTCCCTAACTTTTATGACACTCTTTATAACAGAAAAAAAGCTATAATCAGCCAACAAAAATTCTTTTTTTTTTTATAATCAAAACTATTTCCATAATCGAAAAACCTTAACCGCAAAGCATGGCATATTCGTAATTTACTACACTTTTCAAAAACTTTTAAATTAAAAACTTATTCCCACGTGGAGAATCATATAATCGCCGTCAGCCTCCTTTTAACGGAATCCAATGAGCACTGCACAAGTCAACCTTCCTCACTAACTTACAAAATCACACCGTTCAAAATCCACGTGTCGCACGATTATCGAAACGAACCACCGATTAATCCGTGCTCCTAACCTCACATGATTCCTCACTCCACCGTGTAAAAGAGAAAAAAGAAGCCGTGTTAAAACCCGACACTACCCTTTTAAAAGCCAGCCGAAAACGACCGACCGACCACGATCACCACTTAATCACTTAACCAATAACGTAACGCCACGTGTTATTATACTTTAATTGTTTTTTATTTACCGTCTAACGCGGAAAATAAAAATGGAAGATTTATAAATTAAGCTGATCCATTTGAGCTTTATTTTTTTCTTCCTTAATTCCATTTTTTTTTTGTTTCCTAATTTAAAAATTTCTATCAAATCTTCAGTCTCAGATTCTCTCTGTCAGAAAACGATTCACATAATCTTTTGTTTCTTACTTCTGTTATCTCTCTTAAATCTTCTCTTGGATTTTGCTTATGATCCATTAGCTTCTGAAATTCAGTTATGGCGTTTTTGAGTGGTGGATTTGATATTAAGTCGAAACGTGAGTGTGAGGGATTAGGGTTAGGGTTTGTTAGGTTTACTAGAGGATTAGGGAGGAAAAGAATTCTCATTTCTAAATCTAATTCAAATTCTGATCGAGCTCGGGCAAATGATTCGTCGCCGGAAGCTAATAAGTCTCTGCTTGAAACTCTGCATCAAGATATTTTGGTAAGTTCATTGCGTCTATAATAAATCTCTGTTTTCTCTGTAATTGTGATTAGTTTTGGGGATTTGAATTGATTTTATAAAATATTTGCAGATTCGAGTTCTTTGTCATGTGGATCACGAGGACCTAGCCACACTAAAACGTGTATCTAAAACAATAAGAAAAGCTGTAAGTTTTAAGTTTTCAATTATATTATTTTTCAATATTTTAAATCAAGAAATGATCGATCATTGAATATTTCTAATTAAGCAATAATAATTAATGGTTTTTTTTGAATTTATGGGATTTTAGGTAATTGAAGCAAAGAAGTCGCATTTTGATTTTAGCACACCTAAAAAGAGATTGCCTTTTCGAGACGCAATACTAGTCCTTGAGGAAGATTCGGATTCGAGTAATCAAGATGATGAAATGGAGCCTCCAAATGCACCAATTCGAAGGAGGATTATTAATCGTGAATCGGATTTGTCGAAGATCTCTATGGTATTGTTTAAATGAAGAAGAAAGGTAACCAAAAAAAGAAGAAGAAGAAGTCAGCTAATTGTGCAGAAGAACAAGACATTGAGTTCGCTTTCAATTCTTATCATTGAAGCTTTTTATTATATTTACTTATATCATGTGAATATAACCAATTATTTGCAGACTTTGGAAGGTTAAATATTATTTGTGAATAATTTAATCTTTTGGCTTGTGATCAGAGTATCCTAAGTATTGATTTTGTCCTTTGCAGTTAAAAATTATTAAGATTTTTTTTAATACTGCTATTTCTTGACTTTCTTATATTTATTATTTTTTTGTTTAATGCAAGTGAACAGAGTGAATGAATCTAAAAATATTGCTTATATGAATAATTAAATATAGAGACTATCCAGTAAATGAGAAGAAAAAATTCCTCTCTTGGTAATAGTTGATTTCATCACAAACAGATGAAAAATACCTTGTAACCACAAATTTGTTTATACTTTATATTGGTTCCAAATGGAGATGTCCGGGATGCGGAAAAAATGTACTACGGTAAATACGGTTCTAATAATAATTTCGTTACTATTGGAATCGCCTCACACTGTATGTGAGAGCATGATTAAAGGAAGACTCTTAGAGAAATCTTAGGCTTTTGTTAACATTAAACTCAATATAATTTAATCTAAAATGTGCTTTAACTTTAAGAAACGTTCCTTAGCTAAGAAACGTTCCTTAGCTTTGGACCTTCAGGTACTTTAAATGATATCAATATTCTACATCGCTTTCCGGTTTTTTATGACATCTTAAAAGGGCGAGCACCAGCAGTGAATTATACAGTCAACGGAAACGAGTATAATTTGGGTTACTATCTTACGGATGGCATTTATCCTAAATGGGCTACCTTTATCCAATCTATTTCACTTCCACAAACGGATAAAGCATCTTTATTTGCAACTCATCAAGAAGCTTGCCGTAAAGATGTCGAGCGTGTTTTTGGAGTTTTACGAGCTCGATTTGCCATTGTTAAAAATCCGGCTCTTCTTTGGGATAAAATAAAAATAGGAAATATTATGCGAGCATGTATAATACTTCACAATATGATAGTAGAAGACGAACGAGATGGGTATACTCAGTTTGATACTACCGAATTCGAACAAGCGGAATCTGCAGGAAGTTCACGGGTGGATTTCACATATTCTACAGATATACCTTCAAATTTCTTCGGAATGATGACCAATAGAGCTCGAGTTCGTGATCGAGGTATGCATCAACAATTGAAGAATGATTTGGTCGAGCATATATGGACAAAATATTCCAGAAATTAAGTTTAAAACATTTGTGCTTTATATTATTTATGTTATAAATTGTATCTCATGTATGTTTTAATTTTTTTAATTTGCAACAATTATTAAATTTTCTATAATTATAAATTTTATTTTTATATTAATATTTATTTTTCTAAGAACCACATGTTAAGAGCCTACCATTAATCACACAAAAATCTTAACTCAAAAATACTATCTCTTAACAATCACTTTTACAAATATATTACTTAAATATTGCTAAGAGTTATTTGTAAGATACTACCAATAATCATGCTCTCATAGTCTCTGTTCCAGGTCATTGTGTTTTCGTTATCCACTCGTCGCATTTCAACATAACATCCTATTTTATAAAAAATCATGTGAATAATTAACTAACAAACGTTATTTAAACATATAGCATTGTTAATATGCGTGTGATTTTTCGTTTGTAAGGCTAACCATATATCAACATACCATGTTATTTATCGACATCACATACCTAATAAGCAACTTACATGTTACTCCCTTTTTTAATCTAATGTAAGTGAACACATTGAATGAATCTAAAAAACTAGTCATATATGAATAAATCAATTTGTGTGTCAGATTAAATTATTATGCAGACTTTATGTCATATATGCATATTCACTCCGATCAACAGCTCAAAATGGATTGTTTTTTATATAATACATTGCTCTACACATGTGGATGTAGAAAGAAAAGAGGAAAAGAGAGGCAAATTCTATAAAAATAGCTAAAAAGTAGCTTCACTTCACGAAAGTTCAATCTTTTATATTACAAAACTCACCGACAGCTATTTTTTTGTTATCTGGAAAGTTGTAAATAATCGACCCCATGATCTTTCTTTCTATAAACAAAATGTCTTATTCGAAATACTTGTGAGTGTGGTAGAACCATCCATTCTTTTCTTCATGTTAAAATAATGCAACTAAAGGCGCTTTAACCCGAACTACGTGGATCGAGCCTAAACCATATAGTCTTGCAAATCCAATGTTTTGATCATTTCGTGTGGAGTTTCAAACCAACTGATGACACATGGTCGGTCGAAAATGGTTCTAACGTCTCATGTGGTTTTACATTTTCGTGGCATCTTTATCAGTCCAATGTTGGTCACCGATTATCTGCATTTGTCTTCAATTTTCAAAAGTTTTGGGGAAATAAATAATTGTTTACTGATTAATTATATACCATTTGTTTGTTTTTACCATCTATATCATCGACTAAATTTTCTAAAAAAGTGAATCTACTTTATATTATAATTATTATTATACATGTTTAAAAATAACTAACAACCTGAAAACACTACTTCTATTTCATAATATAAGTTGTTTTGAAATTTTTTTGTTTCACAATATAAATTGTTTCAATTATCTATACAACTTATATATTATTGTATAGTATTGGCGCTTAATCCAATATCCAAACTCTCTAGTTGCTCGAGTGCAAAAAAGTCGATACTTCAGGAATATTCATCATTTACAGGCAAAAAAACCAAATTCTCCATCATTCGGATGGAAGAGTATTTTTTCAACTAAAAAACTAGTTGAAATGGGAGCTAGATGGTCACTTGGTTCGGGTTTCCATCTATCGGTATGGTGAGATCCTTGGATTCCTGATGTTAATCCAAGATCCGCAAATGGAAGAGCAAAATTATTACTTCCAAGTTTGATGGTTAACCATTTAATTAATCCGGTTACTAAAGAATGGCACCTTCCCATTTTACAAGCTAAGAGTTTATGGATCCAGTGGATATTCAGCTTATTAGGAGACTGGCTATTAGCCAAGTTTATAAGCCAGATAGGCTTATCTGGCATCATACAAAATCAGGAAGATATACAGTTAAATCAGGCTATCGGGTTGCTAGAGAGATGACAGAAACGATCGAATGAGGCCCAAATTATAAGACTTTACAAGCACAAGCGTGGAAAGTAAAAGCTCCTCCAAAAATAAAGCATTTCTTATGGCAAATTGCTACGGGATCCCTAGCAGTTACTTCAAAGTTAGCACATCGAGGGATACGTTGTGATATTCTCGGTGTGAGATGGCAGAGAAAATTATAAATCATGCTTTATTTGAATGCACTCACTCTCATAAAATATGGGAATTATCCGATATACCTACGGCACCAGATAATTTTCCCCTAACCTCGGAATTCTCAAATCTAGATTATCTTTATTGGAGGCTACCTTCTAATCTAAATGGGGGAGAGAAAAACTACAGTTTTGCATGGATTTTATGGTTCATATGGAAAAATAGGAATAAGAAGGTTTTCAAGGGATTACAATCTGAACCCACATATATTTTAAATCATGCTTTAAGTAAAAAATTATTGTGGGAAGAAGCACAGATGGATCCGATCGAAACTAGTCCCATCGCAGAAACTTTGGAACGACCAATTCATTCTAGTAGATGTCGGATTGATGGCTCTTGGAAAAGTTCAGACCCAACTATGAGTATAGGATGATGGTGTTTTCAAGGAAATGATCAAACGATATTGCTCGGTGCAAAGTGCCTTCGGAGGGGCTCCTCCCCTCTTCACTCGGAGTTGGAAGCTTTAATTTGGGCTATGAAGAATATCTTTTCAAGAAGGATCGATTGTCAGGCGTTTGAAACAGATTGTTCGGAGTTAGTCTCGATGATACAGTCACCTAAAGAATGGCCCGCTTTCTCCAATCTGCTAGACGAATTTGGTTTACTCCGTGTCTTTTTCCCCCTCTTTTCGCTCTCCCTTATTTCTCGTTTATGAGAGCGGACTGCTTAGTCCGCTCCTCTAGACTATTATTTTTCGAAGTTACTTTTGTGGACTCTATTCCTCCTAATTGGGCGTCCAATCAAAGAGTTATTTATTAATTAATGTATGGTTGGAAAAAAAAATACAACTTATATATTACTTTAATATTTTATAATTATCTATTATGTAGTTTTTTTATGATTGGCTGAACTTTTTAAAATTAGATACTTTAATCTGCATATTTTTCACCAAAACAACTTATATTATAAAACGGATGGAGTACAAAAATTTAAAATTACTAGATTTTTTTTTACTATTGAACAATCTTTTTCAACCAAACCGTATTCGTTACTAAGCTATATTTTACTGCTTTTAATATCTTTTTCTGTACACAAGACAAACAAACAAAAAAAGGGGGAAAGAAAAATCCTAAGATAGTATTTCTAATCGGATCCTAAAAAGTGTGAGGTCAAATTAATTTAGGTCTAAGAGTGGGTTTTCAATCTCCAACTAACAATGTTTTGATGACCTAACAAGCTCTCGCCTTCAGATTTGCTAGTCCTAATTATAATTCATAATAACTAATGCCTACCAACTTCATCATCTTCCACTTATCTACCGAGTAACAAATTAGGATTTAGCCAAATGTCACTTCTTTAGTTTTCGTTATAACCACAATAAAAAATACTACTTTCTCCGTTTCGTTTTAGTTGTCGTTTAAGGTATTTTAACACAAATTAAGAAAGCATTAAATTTTCTCTTTTACACTTTATTAATATATTTTATAAAAAATTTTATTGGCCAAACATTAAAACTGTATGGATAAAACTGGACTTTTCACTAAACATTTGCATTGAAAACCTAAAACGACAACTATTATAAAACAAAATTTAATTCCTAAAACGACAACTAAACTGAAACGGAGGGAGTACAGTATAGTATAGTATCATTCAAACGTAGAAAATGCACAACGTTGACAAATTACCAACCAAAGAATTTACTCTTATTTTCTAAACAGGTGATTTTGGATTGAAGGTTAATCGTCATGTAAATTTTTCTAATGGTCAAAAGAAGAAGAGTTCAAACTTCAAAGAGAAACGACTTTTTGGCATTGACCAACAAAAAAGTGCCACTAAACTACCATCACGGGAGTTAATGTAATTACAAGATCTTTCTCTAGTCAAACATTCAGACATCAAAGACAAAACGTATTCAAGAAAAACCAAAGAAAAGATTTGACGCGTTTTCTATTTAAAAGGAGTATTGGTTAATAGCTTTAACTTATGCGTTGTAAAAATAAATCATAAAAAGATCAATGACGATCTTGTAACAAGAAAAAATATATTTATTTAAGTGATAAAAGTATATCATTTTTTCGTGTTTTAACGTTCTGTAAACATTTCTGATAATAATAATTCATCAGCTCGAAAAAAAAAAAAACAACAGAGAGAGAAAAAAACAGAAAGCTTCGTGGGTTTTTTCGGTCGCCGCTGTCCTTCCGATGGTGGCACCGATAGTGTAGTATAACTTGTTTTTTTGCTTCCTTCTCTTTTATCTTTCATGTGTTTCCTTCTACTCGAGCAAGGGTTGAATTTTGTCTCAGATCTACAATTCTAGATTTAGATCTATCCTAGATCTATGTCTATTTTGGGGTTTGATGTTTGTTTCCTCCCTCTAGTTGTTGCTGTCTCCGGTGGTTGGTATTCAAGAAATCAACGGCGTGCCGTTTTGGTGAGTCAACAATTCTGGAATTTGCTCACCGACGAGGAGATGCGGGTTTGAGAAGTCTTTAGTTTGTTTTTGCTCTGTAATTTTATGAGATTATGTCTTTTCTGTTTATTCCTCTCTGCTGGCCTTTCCCTAGGACTTAATCGAATCGCATCCGTCACCATTCCTTCCCTCTGAAGGCTTTGGTGAGTCGATTAAGCGGATGTTTAGTCTCCTCCACACGAAATTAATTTCAGGTTTGGTCGAGACTTGTTTTGTTTGTGCTGCCTCCTAACCGGTTCGACATATGTTTCGATTTCTCCGGCCCCTGGCAGTTTCGTCGGTCTTGTCAATTATCTTTTGAAAGATTCGTCTTGCCATCCCAAGGAAGCACAAGTTTCAAATTTCTGAAGTCTACCTACATCAAGCGAGGACAAGTAGAGTTGAAGCTACGGTTGGTTATTGTCGGTGTTCCAACATGTCTAATCGTTTTCCGCTCTCGGGTTTGGACTAGTTTTTGAGTTTTGAATAGTAGTGTTTGCATATCTCATTTAAGAGCTTTTGTTTGTATAAGAAGTTGTTTCTCGTGTAGTCGGGCTTTGTCTCTCGAGATTCCGAGCTTAGTTTAGTCGGAATCTGCGGGCTTTATCTCTCGAAATTTCAAGCTTAGTTTAGTTGGAGTTTGCGAGCTTTGTCTCTCGAAATTCCGAGCTTAGTTTAGTCAGAATTTGCGAGCTTTGATTCCGGTGTGTCCGGCTTATGTATCCTTCCCTTGTTTTTAATAATACCAGACGACAAAAAAAAAAAACGTTCTGTAAACATGATTACGTTACTTGTTATCATTTAAAATATTAATCAAGATCCTATGTTTTCACGTTTTAAACAAAATGATATCACCAAATGTGTAAAAAATATAGGTGAAAAAACAAAGCGTCAACAATCTATTAAACCTATTGTTTTAAGCTTTTTATAAGTACTAGATGAATATCCACGCGTTGTTTTGAAAATTGTGAAGAAAAAATTATTGATTGTTTTTGCTAATTTATGTTTATTTTTGATTTGTTACTCCCTCTGTTCCTAATAGTTTGATGTTTTGGAGTTTTCACACATATTAAGAACTCAATCATTTTTCAATTATTTTAATATTGTTTTTAGTTTTAAATATTTTTAATAATTATCAACCAATAGTAGTCTAAAAAAGTTAATGATTTATAATTATTGGATCTTGAAATTTACAACTTACTATTATAAGTTAATAAAAATAAAAGAAAAATGGTAGAAAATCAAACTTAGTGGAACAACCAATAAAAGGTAAAACATCAATTTTTTAGGAACAGAGGGAGTATTATGTAGTTAATAAAACTAAATCTATCTTATGTTGTTACAATTTTTTAAATTAGATCTATTTTTTGACTTGAAATATAACCCGGGAAAAAAACTTACTTGTCAGCTGAGACCTCTTGCTTGTTCCCGTAATATCCTTCATCGTCCTCATGGCTCTGCTAGTTGGTCAGAAGGTGCTTTATCAGCTTTCTCAATATCTATTATGGGTGCAAAGTTTTTTTTTTATCATTTTTGAATGGGATTCATTGGACTCTCTCGTTTATATGTTCAGGGGATACAAAAGTTCTAGCTGCACAATACGGACTTAAAGCAGTAATGAAGAAGAACGAAAATGCTGAGAAGGCTTATTTTGAAGTCATATGGAAGCCATAAACCGGATAGATTGGTAATCGTAAATGCCTTTAGTTTTTCATCCGGAGGCGTGTTTTGTTGCTTGAGTATGTCGTATAGGTGATTCTTGGTTTTTAGATCTGAATTACTTTTGCTTTGAATATTGATAGGAAAAGTTGAAAGGGAGTATGAAACGATACTGAAAAGGACGCTACAGAATATTTGTGTTTTGACAGTTGTTCCAAATACCACCACCTCAGTGATAATTCAAGTGAGTAGCTATTCAATGTTGTGTATATCGATATTGTCAACTTGAGTTGTATCTAATGTTTTCATTTTGAAATTCTCGTGTAGGTTGTACATGATGGTGGTTCTGTATCTTTTTTATGTTCCTTGCACCTTGGTAAACATTTACTGATGCTGTCTGAAACACATATAATCCGGTATAAACAATGTCTGTTTGAGTATTTATAGAGTTTATAGTAGTGAAAGTTTGTAATCCCATAAGCTGTGAGTGTGAATATGTTTTTGTGTAACTTCTACCGTGGCCTCCATTCTGGCAGTTAGAAGGTAGAAAACATTTTTCTAAAGATGGAATTTGATGTACAGAAAGAGAGACTCTGAAGGATGGAATTTACGAAGTCGAGAAATTTGCCTTGAGATTCTTCTTCTTTCATATTGAATGATCGAGCAGAGAGTGTGAGAGATTTATTTTGTTAAAGTCTTGTGGAGAATTAGAATATTTGTTTGGTTTAGAAGCATTAAGCCATCACTGAAATGGGTTCGATCCATAAATATTGCATTCTAATAGATTCTAAAACACATATGGTCCATCCGTCATAGGCTATTATTTTCTTTATTCTATTTGACACTTATCATTAGAAGCTGATGTGTATTAATGAAATGTTTTGATTGAACAAATAAAAGCTGATGTGTCATCTCCAGAAGAGCCAAAAATGCTGACGTGACGGAAGGATGGAGAGAGATAGCCTCCTTTCATATATATGATTTCACAGAAACTCTATCCAAAAATGTGTTTCTACAATTCTGTCATTTAACAATCCGCTATTTCATTATTCATCAAATACCGCTCAGACTCCTACCATACTTAGCTACCATATTCATCAACTTTATGAGTTTTTTAGCAATTTAGATTTTGAATCCAAAACAATCCTCAATATCTCTCATTGTTCTTAGTTTTATTTAGATTTTAAATCCAAAAAAAGAGCCACAATCTCTCTCATTCTTCTTAGCTTTAGTTGGGAGACCAATCAGTCATCTCGTTAATTACACATTTTAACTTTTTCTTGTTTTGGTCTAACTATTAAACATTTTAGTACTAATTAATCATGGGGATTAGGTAAAGGTAAAAACTAAAAGTCATTTTAACAGCACTCAATGTAAGACTTTCATTAGGTGCTTGTAAATATAACTTAACAGTCTAACACCTTAAGTGTCTCTTCCACTTCATCAAATGGAGGAAATTGGAAAAATCCCATGGACGATCTTCTTATTCTCTCATCCTATGTTCTCTTGTTTCATTTCACTCTATACTATATTTCTACTTTATTTCCCTCAAGATTCTCTTCGGATTCTTATTTCTCCTGTTCCTCTCCTCGTCGGAGCTTTCTTAGTCTCCTACTTCCGCTTCGGGTTGACCCGAGAATCCATTGCGCGACCCGGAAATAATGAGAATTCGATAGGACCCGAACTCAAAACTGGTCTCGGTTCAAATCCGGATTTCATGGGTGATTTAGTGGAAAGAAATTTGAAATTGAGAGCTCCATTGGAAGTTATACACGAAGAAGAAGAACAGCCGATGACCCGGTTCGTAATGATCGAGAGGTTACCATCTTTATCGATGTTTAACCCAGAATCTGATTCCGAATTGGACCGCTATTTCCCGGTTATGAGTGAAAATGATCCAACCCGGTTCGTGAGGATCGAAAGGTTACCATCGTTGTCGATTAAACCGGAATTTTATTTGGTTTTCGGGTCCGAATTGGATAACTATTTCCCGGTTATGGATGTAAAGATCCGATCCGGTTTAGGAGGATCGAGAGATTCCCTTTGTTATCGATAATTAAACCAGAATTTTATTTGGATTCCGGTTCTCAATTGGACAACGATTTTCCGGTTCTTGATGACTGGAGTTCACCGGAGAAAGTGAGCTTAGAATGGGAAGACGAAGAAGGAGAGGGGTTGATTGAGATAAAGCTCGACGGGTACTATAATGGCTGCCATAGTAAGATGATCAACCAAAATCAATTTAATTTAGATTTAGATTTTCTTGAAGAGGAGGAGAGTTTGATCGAGATTGATGTTTCTTCATGAGATTTTCTCTGCTTCGAAAATATTTAAAAACATACTATAGGTCTTTTTTTTTGTCACCTAGAATTTTAGTTATTGATTTTGAAGTGGAACCAAAGTGGAATACAAAGCCCAAAAAAAGAAAACTAAAGTCGGCGGACAACATGAAAGTCTCCAGAGACAAAGCCGACAGAATACGAGATTTCTCCGGAAGCTAAGCCTTAACAAAGGGAAACTAAACATAATAGTGGAACAAAGCAAAAGATTTCAAACCACAAACGCAAAAGATCAAAACCAAAAACTAAGAAAGAAGCAGAAGGCATAAACCTTAAAAAAAAAAATAGACCCAAGAAAACAAGAAATCCAAAACTTCTGAAGCACCTGCGAATGAAACTTACCAAGGATACCCGCGGCCAACCCGAAGATAACATCTACCTCCTCCTTCATAACTCGGCAAGAGAAACAAAAAAGTTAAGGAAACCTCGAGCACACTTCGAATACGACTGCTGCGTCCACTAACTTCAAACTAGAAACCTTCAAAAATATACTATATGTCTATATTGAATAATACTAATAAATAAAACTATAGTTGCGTTGTATATACGAAAACAAACGGAAACGCTCTTTGTAATTTTATGTTCCAAAAGAAAAATATTCTAACAATTTATTTTGGCAGCAATATTCTGAGCATAATTTGATCCGTCAAGTATCTAATTTAATAATTTTCAACAAACAAACTGGAATTTGATGTCTAATGGTAATGGCGTCACGATTTACGTAGAATGTATTACAAGTTGTCGACCAAAAAAAAAAAGTTGTCGACAAAAATGAAATAAAATTGCAAACAAATATAAAAACAACATGGTCAGACTCAGATACAGGGAGGATCTGGCTTGGCCACCAAGATCGGTTGACAAATATTTATCTAATAATTATTATACTTTCTAGTTCACAATATTAATGGGATTATTACAGATTTTGCCTGGCATTTATAGATTTTGCCATTTTTTGAATAATTTATGGATTTTGCCCTTTTTTAACACTTAAAAATATACGTATTTATGATTTTTTTTTACAAAAATACGTACATTATACCAAATACTAAACCCTAAGAACAATTGGAACCGACTAAACCCAAACATAACGAATGAAACGCATGTTAAATCATATTTTTGGAGCCTAAAAAAGGGCCAAATCCATAAATTATTCAAAAAATGACAAAATCCATAAATGTCATTATAAAAAAGGGCAAAATCCGTAATTAATTCCAATATTAATAGAGAAAATTAGCATTGGTACCACATTTGTCCCAAAAGTTAGCACCAATACCACATTCGAGGCCCAATTATCATTCATACCACATTGTACTTATAAAATGACCATTTTATCCTCCAACTGGTGAGACAAGGAACTGCGGTTGATGTGACCCTCCAAAATTTATGTCGTCCTTTGTCTTTCTCCTGACGCATTGGTAACCGTTTTCGTCCCTCTGGCTGGTAAAACAAAGTTGTCCCCGAGTAAATTCAGATCTCTGGCTGGTAAAACCACATCATATGTTCTCTTTATATAATCCTTTTTAAATTCAACACTATGATAAATTCGGGGACACCTGGATATTATGGTTGTCCATCGTCATATGGTATGGTTTTATTCGCAAGAGATCTGGACTTATTTTTGGGGGACATTATTCACTATATTTTATAATTATTGTCCATTGTAAATGTAAACTGCATTTAATGCAATGTTTTGTCCCTTTTCTCTGACACAAAGCTGTCTGGCGTCTACTGTAGCTCCTTCCTCTGACACATTCCTGATGCAGGCAGAAGGGTAAAATCGTCCAAGCTCTACCACACTACCACACAAAAGTGGCACAACTGCTAAATTGATTTCCATTGTGGTACATTTGCTAGGGATTTTGAAAATTGTGGTACATTTGCCAAAAATCCCATATTAATATGTATAAATGTCATAATTAATACGTGACGAAACTAAAATTCTGAAATAAATATATTAAGTATTAACAAAACAAATAATAAATCGAAATAAATATTCTCCACCAATCATAACCTCGTTGTGTTCGTATTTGTTTTTTGTTTCAAATTAAATATTATTTTTGACTCGACTTTTACACGGATGCCACGTGGTCAACCAAAACGTACGCCAAACTCTACTTCTCCACCGTCACAATCATCTCCTGGCCCTCTCAAGATCTCTCTCTTCTCTATTTCCTTCAATTAAAATTCTCCAGGATTCTTGGCGTTACTGTGGAAAAAATCTTCTTCTCAGCGATTGAATCGAACCAGAGCGAAAATGAGAAATTTCAGTATCTTCGAGAGATTCTCTAAAGCTTTTCAAGATCATCCTTCTCTCACCAGGATTCTCGTCGTCTCCACGATCAGGTCATCTTCTTCTTCAAAAACGATTTTCATAGCTCTTTGTTTTTTTTGCTTCTCCGTTGTTGAAACCTTAGAATTTCTCCCTCAATTCTCTACCTGGAAACGTATGAACAACAGATTCTCCAGAAGAAAAAAAAACTGTTGAATAGAGATTCTCTAGGTTGTATCATTCACGCAACACTTGCTTTTGTTAAATTGTGAATCTCCCATTTTCTTTCAGGAAGAACGCGTTTCATATTCTTAACAAATCTGATTCGATGAAACTCAATCATCATCTGGATTTTGCAAATCGCGTCTTACTGTTTATGCTACAGTGCTTATATGTCCTGGATCTCTGATTATATTACTGTATAGTATCGTTGTGATCTGTGTTTATATTGCTAAGGTTTGATTCAGATTAGAATTGTTTACTGATGTGAAATACTGTGCATTGTTGTTATAGTGGTGGTGGACTTATAGCGTATTCTGAGGCAAACGCATCCTATGGAGCGAATGGTGCTGGTATTGTTGAAACTGGAACCAAGAAGAAGAAGGTGGTATTGCTGGGAACTGGATGGGCTGGAACTAGTTTCTTGAAGAATTTGAATAACTCTCAGTATGAGGTTCAGATTATATCACCTCGAAACTACTTTGCTTTCACTCCCTTGTTACCTAGTGTTACTTGTGGAACTGTTGAAGCTCGCAGCGTTGTTGAGCCTATTCGAAACATTGGAAGAAAGGTAATTCTGCTGTGATTATGGCTAATTCGGAATGTAAATTTTGTCTTCTTATCCCATTCTTCTAACTAGATTCAGCTCTTATATATCTCTGAAACATATCATCATGATTAGACTGATATGCAAATGCTATAACAGTAAACAAACGTCTGGTATAGTAGCAGTTCGTTGTTTTAGACTCAAGTTTTTTTGGTTGTAGTGTGTATGCATTGCACCGCTAGTATGAGGCTTTTTCTTCTAATAAATTGCAATTTTGTCTTTTGTTGAAAAAAATGCTAATCCATGCTCTTTTTCCTGCCTTGACAAATAGAAAAATGTTGATACTTCTTACCTGGAGGCAGAATGTTTCAAAATTGATCCAGCAAGCAAGAAAGTTTACTGCCGATCCAAACAAGGCCTTAGTTCAAATGGAAAAAAGGAATTTTCTGTTGACTATGACTATCTTGTAATTGCAACTGGAGCTCAGTCTAACACCTTTAACATACCCGGAGTGGAGGAAAACTGTCATTTTCTGAAAGTAAGTTCTCTTGGCTCTTAATCCCTTTTCTTACTCCACTTGGTATGTTTTTTTGTATGCAGTGATAGTTTACCGCTCAAAAGCATGTGAAAGTATATGTTTACTGATCATATGTAGGATGTTAACATTCTGAGGCTTTAATTGGTTTCATTGTCTGCTTATAGGAGGTTGAAGATGCTCAGAGAATCCGTAAAACTGTGATTGATTCCTTTGAGAAGGCAAGTCTACCAGAACTAAGCGATGAAGAGCGAAAGAGAATCCTGCATTTTGTGGTTGTTGGTGGTGGGCCAACAGGTGTTGAGTTTGCCGCTGAGCTGCATGATTTTGTTACTGAGGATCTAGTCAGTCTCTATCCTAGAGCCAAGGGTTCAGTACGAATCACACTTCTCGAGGCCGCAGACCACATCCTGACCATGTGAAATTTCTTGCCTCTAAAACTTCTTGATCAATCTTCTTCTCTTTTTTTTTTTGGTCAGACGCTTTTAAATTTCATGTTTGCATAAAAACCTTGTTATTGATTCATGGAAAGCTTCACAGGTTTGATAAGAGAATCACTGAGTTTGCCGAAGAAAAGTTTAGCAGAGATGGAATTGATGTGAAACTTGGCTCTATGGTAACTAAAGTGAATGAGAAAGATATATCTGCTAAAACCAAAGGAGGAGAGGTTTCCTCTATTCCTTATGGAATGATTGTCTGGTCAACTGGTATTGGAACTCGTCCTGTGATAAAAGATTTTATGAAACAAATTGGTCAGGTAAAGTAATGTGCTTTAGATTAAACTCACACACTACAATCTTCAACATTTCCTAGCCAACATGTTTCAACAACTTGCTCTAAGAAATTGTCTTTGTAATTTCAGGGTAATAGACGTGCTCTGGCAACTGATGAATGGCTTCGCGTAGAAGGAACTGATAATATATATGCCCTTGGTGATTGTGCAACCATTAACCAGCGCAAAGTCATGGTAATTTGACGCTTCTATTGCTTCCCAAAATCTGGAACAATGTTTTTGGATTATATCCAAAGTTATTAATGGTTTCATGTTGCAGGAAGATGTTTCTGCTATTTTTAGCAAAGCAGACAAAGACAAGTCTGGGACACTGACTCTCAAAGAGTTCCAAGAAGCAATGGATGACATTTGTGTTAGATACCCTCAAGTGGAGCTCTACTTGAAGAGTAAACGTATGCGTGGCATTGCAGATCTTCTTAAAGAAGCCGAAACTGATGATGTATCCAAGAAGAACATCGAACTGAAGATCGAAGAATTCAAATCAGCTCTTTCTCAGGTTGACTCACAAGTGAAGTTTCTTCCAGCTACAGCACAGGTAATTCGATTAAATTTTAGCTATATAAGTCTCTGTTCATCTTTGATAAAAACTCTTATTTACTGCATTCTTATCAATTTGTTATATGTGGATTTTTAAGGTCGCTGCGCAGCAAGGTGCTTACCTAGCTAAATGCTTTGATCGCATGGAAGATTGTGAGAAGAATCCAGAAGGTCCCATTAGGATGAGAGGAGAAGGTCGTCATCGTTTCCGCCCCTTCAGGTTAGTCCTCCCAAAAAAACTTCGTCTTTTTTTTTGTTGACAAAACCAAAAATGTGTGACGTAGAGGATATAGTCTGTAAGCATTTCTCTTTATTGTTTACATAGTAAATGAAAATGTGGAAGTTGAGAGGAACTTCCAAACACACAGCACAGTTTGGTAGTCAACTTGTGTGTTTTTAGGCAGTGAGGTTGAGTGTTTTGGAAGAACTCTGAGTCTAGATACTACGAGTCATGGGCATTGGACCATTACAGTGTAGAAAAGATGGATTTATACCGTATATTAGGTGAGACTAAGAGTGAAAAATAAATAAAAATTAAAACGCTAGGAAGCACATTTAGTGAGTTTTTGTAGTTTAAAGGTACTACTGTACATATTAGTTAGTGTGGTTCAATTCTGATTTTGATTCGGACTGGCTCACTTTTTTTTGCTGGTTTATAAAGTTTAGTAACCAACTTGAAACCATCTTGATCTATTTGGTACCAGTTTAATTTGAAGGATTTGAAAAGAGATCTGAGTTTTGGTTCATTTTTGGCCGCCCCTTAAATTGTGATTTGAGAGTCCTTTGGATACAAAGCAATATAGACACAAATGAAAATACTTGCGAAATCCGGTTTTGCTGTTTGGACTGAATATATCGGTTTGGCTTGGTTTGGTAACAGGTACAGGCATTTGGGACAATTTGCACCACTGGGAGGGGAGCAAACGGCAGCACAACTTCCAGGAGATTGGGTTTCTATTGGACATAGCAGCCAGTGGCTCTGGTATTCCGTCTACGCCAGGTAAAAAATGAAAAAAACTTCTACTTGTTTTTGAATATTTTTATTTAATTTAAAATAAAATCCACAAAGAATGTTTTCAATTTTTACTTGAGTAGAAAATGTTTTGGTTTGGAACAGTAAGCAAGTGAGCTGGCGTACGAGAGTGCTTGTGGTTTCAGATTGGATGAGGCGTTTCATCTTTGGTAGGGATTCCAGTAGCATCTGATTTTAATAATCCTCCAATACACATCTCTCTTCATGAGGAAAAGGTTTTGATTCACATCTAAAAAAAATCCACATCGGCTTTTATATTTTGTAATAAAATAATGACCACAAGTAACGAGGAGAGATTGCCTCGTTTCTTTGGCCATATTGTTGCTAATCCCGAGAATTGTACTCTCTGTTTTCATCTGCAAATATTTTTCAGGTGGCCTTTTTACCTTTTATATCATCTTTTTTGTAAGCCTTTTCCTCAAATTTTGTTTAGTACGATGACAAAAACGGAGTTTTGTTATTTCCTGCTCTCTGTTTTTCTTCTTCAATATCTTGGTCTTTTTTTTCTTTCAAAATATTGGTTAGCTTAGAATGGTTTTAACTTTTAATTAGTAAACACTACAATATGGAAAGAAATGGAATGATTCAAAAAATTTAAATTATTAATTTTATATTAAAGTGGCTAGGAAGGAATAATTGCGATTATGGAAAACAGTATATGATTACAAAAAAAAAAAAAAAAAAAAAAAAAAAAAACAGAGAAATTACATAGTCAACTGTTGAAAAGTTGCATTTTTAAAAGTAATTCTAGAATAAGACTTGTTTTTAAGTGTCGTCAACATCTGTGACGCTGATGATATCAGCGAAACCAACTTTCTTGCGAAGCCGGACAACTAAACATGCGGCGTCGACACCTTCTCCGATCACCACCACTTTGTCTTTCTCTTCACCTTCTATTCCCACGAAAGTCACCCCTACTCCATTATTAAAACATGAGATCATTCAATCAAGAGAAGAGAAAGAATTATAAGTTTAGAATTAACGTATATAATTTGCTAGATACATGCATAACATAATTAACCAAATGCCGATTCGAGATATATTTGGATTCTAATTGATAATTTGCCGAATCTCATTTCATAGCTCACATATTCTACTATCTTAATGATGAAATTATTCTCTTTTAAGTGTAACCTGCTCCAAATGATGAAATGATGTCTTTGTAAAAGAACATACAGTATAAGTTAAAGAGGAATACAATACATATTAAACGAATTTTTTTTTTAAAAAAAAGATGAAATTAGAAAGGATTCAGTAATTTGCAAATAAAAATACATTCCCAAGGTTACCAATCAAAATCTTGTTTAGTTAAGATCTGATGGGATATCTTACCAGTAGTTTTGGCTCCGATCTTGAGAGCTTCTGATCGACATTTTTCGCACCTCATACTTACCGACATCAAGATTTTCTGCTCATGAAAATTCCAATATTTTCAAATTATAATACTACTAGTTAGGTTTCTCTTTTCTTCAAAAAAAAAAAATTAATACTATTAGCTAATAACTTCATCCAAAACCTTCCGTATTTTATTTAGACTTTTAGTAGAAGAAATCTTTAGCGTACCTTAGGCATTTTGGAACCTCTTGGAGAAAATGAAACCTTCTTTTTTTTTTTTTTGTGGTATAAGTGATTATAATTTACGTGTGTAAATATATAAGTGCTTGTCTCATTTTCTTGTGCCACATTGCTTAACACGCATTAGTACATATTTGTATATTCTTTGCTACGAAATCGCAGAGGAATTTTCATGCACCTACTTCTTGGTTAAGTCCTTTAATAAAGTATAAATGTTGACGTTTAAGTGGACAATATACGGTATTGCTTGACAGCCTTGACTCATAAGGATTAAGATTTGGTCAGGTAAGGGTTAGATTTTGTCATGCACATCTAAAAAGTCAGTACCGTGAGGGCCAGGACCGCTCCTGAATTATAAATGACCCGAAAGGAAACTAGTCCCTTATTTCGTGTTTCTGCATAAAAACAAAAATAATTATTAACCTTTTAACCAAATAAAATTTAGCAAACTTGAGAAATGCAAACAAGAAACTGCACATATCAATTTATTTTGGAATATAAAAATATCCATTTAATGATTTTTTTTCATGCAGATGAATAATGATGAACAAGAGAAAACTAATAATAAGGACGGCCATAGGGAAAAAAAAAAGCATTGAAAATGATTGATCATAGAGTATACCACATTTAGGGATTGTTTTCCACATAATGTAGAAGTCTTTTAATCCAGTAGTTGGCATTTATTTGTTTTTACATTACTAGGAGGCAAATCTGGGCTAAGTCCGGATATTTTCAACATTTGATATTTTAAAGTTTGTTAACTAAATAGTTTGTCATATTTTTTTCAATGTACACTATGAAAAATCATGTGACGCTCTATTTAACATTTTAGTAATGAAAACATATATGATACTATTAATTGTTAAGTTATATTTCTTTATATTTTTTTCATTGTAATTTATATTTAAAACATTAATTCATATTTATGTTTGATTATTAAAAATTTATTTCTTGATTATGAATATATAGCAAATTTTTTATACGATATTTTCAGCTATGTTGATAAGGTGAGTAATTTTGATGAGGATGAGTAATTAAATCTTTAATATTTACTTATTTAGCATAAGTTATCTCTATGCAAATGATATATACCTAAGATATCACTGGTAAAGTGAAATTTGAATGGTTATACAATGAGTGATACTATTTTGATAAAATATTTTGGCTTTGTTAAATTCCGTCAAAAAGATATTTTAGTTTCATGTATCATGATGGAAGAGTAAATTATTGGAAATGAAACCATCAAGACCTTATGAGTTTGGGAATATCATCTTTAAAAAGACAAAATCAACATTGAAGTATCATATCACACACACTATGATAAAAACCTACATAAGCCAATATTATGAACCCTAAACCATAATTTTTTTTTTGAATAACCGCGGGTCTTCCAAAGGCTTCCTAGGCCCAAGGACTAATCCCACGAGGCTGGCAATTCCCCTATGTAAACCTGCCAGTGGCCGTGCCTCGAACCCTGGTGGCGGAAGTCACAGCTGTGACCCCTTTACCACTAGGCCACAAGGCCCGGTTCCTAAACCATAATTGGCAATTTAAGTTATATTCTTACCATCTTCAACATAATAATGGAGCATACTTCTCTTTACTATTCTTTGAAAATATGACAATTGATGCCTTTCTTTAATAATCTCTTTGCCAAGTGCATAAAGCCCAACGTTTCACATAAGGTTAAGCGTTGCATTCTCTTTTATGTTCCAAATTCCGGCTACACATTGTATTGCCTGCAACATCAAATCGATCTTATTAGATTATCATGAAAGGAACACAAATACTTGACAATAATAGTGTAGTGCCTTTCTATGTTTATTTTGCTAGTGACCAAAATTATGCTTATTATATATGTTACGTCTTGTGGTTAGTATTACTCGCATTGGAAACCAAAGGGATTAAATTGGTGATTAACCATAAAAGCTATAATGTGAGTAACGATCCCTTAATTAAGAGGTTAAGATCCATATATAGTCATGAGAAAAGTGGAGTTTCATTCTAAGTTACGTGTTAAGATCCATATATAGACTATGTAGATTCTTGCCATATTTTTCCATCTGCGAGACCTAATGATGAATGGAAAACATATTACATGTAACTTATGGTGTGACTACGACCAGTGGCGGATCCAGGAATTAATTTTATCCGGGGCAATAATATTAAATAAAAAAAACTATAATTTTATTAACATAAATGAATCTTCTAAGTAAGTTAAAGCATTTGATTAATTTTTTCAAGTTAACAAAAGTGATTTAAAGTTATTTTATCATTGAAATATGAGCTTATTTACAAAGAAAACAAAAATAAAATTAGGATTTGTATTGTGTTTGAATTATATAGACTTTAAATTATCTCTATACTATTAAAAGAGAAGTACAAATGTAAATGGGTCGGGTCAAAATCAGAAAATTGACCCGAAATTCTGAAATCGGATCTTTGAAAATTTTTTAGAATATAAATTCGAACTAATAATGAAAAATCGAACTAAAATCAAATGTTTATGGAAATCAAATAAAATTTTATTGTACTTATGGTAACTAATTATAAAATCATATTCCGAACAATATTATACATTAATTACATATAATATATTTGTTCATATACTTTTAGAACTAATTCCATAATAATCAACGTTTTTCTCATTAATTTTGCTTATTTTAGCCAGTTATCATTAATTAAAAAATATCTTACTTGCTTCTAGAGATTTCTAGAAAATTTATCACAACTAACCCATCTATTTTATAAATTAAATATTTTTTTTTTTAGTTTGGTCATGTAAATTAAATAGATATGAAATCTATGTAACTAATTTTAATTTAATTAGATTAAATCGAAATTATGGTATTTTCATACTTATAGCTTACCAAAGAAGTTTAATTTTCAAATTATAAAGATTTCTTGAATATGATTTTTAGAATTATTCAACAAGATGATAAATATTTATTAAATTTTGTGAATCATGAAAAATATTAATTATTTTTTAATCATTATATTTCACCTTTCAATCTCTCATCTAACAAATAAGATACATATTCTATTATTCCTATGTCCAAACTCCATTGTGTTGTATGACTAAATAATATTTCCATTAGCTGTCAAAACGAGTTGATTCATCCTGTTAAGCCTGTTTTGCAATAGACAAAATATATTTTGGCATGTAGTTAGTCTTTCCGCACGACCCGCGGGTAGCATATATGAAACACAAACCCGTCGCGCGAATTTATGCTGATTTGCGGGGTTATCCGTGGATTTTGTTTAAATAATTTTAGAGTAACCAAAATTTAAAATTCTACTAAAATAAATAAATTAGAAAAAATTTAGAGATTATAATCTTATATATCATTATATTTATAAATATTATAATTTCATTTATTAAAAGTTTTTTAAACTACCACATGTTGAATAAATTATATTTTTATCAATAAATACTATCATGCGGGTTGATCCGCTAACTCGCGGATGAAAACCGATGACCCACTGCGAATCAATCCATGTGGCCCGCTTATTTGCGGGTTTAATATATTTTCCCAAATCTGCACAATAGTGAGATGATTTGGGCTCGACCCGCGGTTTTTGACCTATTTTGACTGCTTTAATTCCCATGATTCGTCTAATTTTTGAATTCTAAAACACAAAATTCCATTTTGTAAATCATAATTAATATGATTGGTTTAATTATAAACAATTTAATATTTTCTTTACAATTTGTTATTAGGAATATTTATAAGTACACTACACAATTCGTTCTACTAAAAACACGCACAATATTAAAATCAACGTATGTAAATCAATATTCTCCCGCGGTGGACCGCGGATCCGATCCTAGTAATATTATACAACACAAAACCTTTGTATAAGAAGAAAACAGAATAATTGGGGGCATTAAACAAGTATTTAACAGGGGCATAATTAAAAATTCCTGTAAATTACACCAACTTTGAAAAATTTATCCGTGGCAAGTGCCCCCTTAATCGTAACGTACGTCCGCCATGACTACGACCTAGAATACACAACCATCGGAAAGGAAAAGAAGATATGATAACTAACATATATAAATTGCAAAGCTGATTATCAAAAGTTCAGGATCAACTTTTGAGATACATTATGAGAGATAACAAAGTGAAATAGTATTGAAGCTGAAGCTGATCAGCTTCTACTAGCTCGACCTCAGGTTTATCTATTAGAGTCTCAACCTTTTTTATTTATCCAACGTTGTTGTGCAAATTCACAGATAGTTAGGACCATAAGGGCATTAATCATATAATGGAGAGCTTTGTAATGATCACAGATTATGGAGAATGATAAGGCAAGGAATGCAAACAAAGAGGCTTTAACAATGCTTAGTAAGAGGGCTCGAACAACAGACTAGTCTTTTTCCTTCTCCTTTTGATTCTATGATGATTGATATCGAAACTAAACCTTTGGTTCAACAAGTGTGCTCGACCTGCATGTGGATCTCATGACTCTAGTAAAGTGAACCCACTAAGATGATTCTTCCAGGATTTGATATTTTTTCTGCCGTTCCGTTTCATCTTGTGCATACTATCCTAGAGAAAGATACTTGTCTAGTTTAGGGGTTTTGTTTTAGCTCTGTTTTCTCTGTTTTGAAGGCAAGTGTGTGTCATTGTGTTACTATTTTGCAGATGAAGATGAAATGGAGTTTGAATCGAAGAACTTGCAATGCTTAGTAAAGGAGAAGGCTCTGTTTATATCGGAACTTGGGAATCTTGCTGATAATATATCTCCAGGCGTTATCAGATCGTTGGTGGCGTTGAAGGACAAATCTTTGGTTAAGTAAAGGTCGAAGGAAACATATAACAAGATCATTGTTTCTTATAAGCTGCAACAATCATAATCCTTAATTTTTCTTCTTGTTTATGTATGATAAGTGACACTCTATAGTGTTTATTGATATTGACTTTGCTGACAAAACTTTTTTGACCATTTGGATTATTATCTAATCTTAAAAGCTACATGTGACTTGCTTGTATTCTTAATTTTGATGACGCTCCTCACTTGCTTCCCAGACTCATCTTCAAACAAAGTTAATAAACTAAATCAGTAAAATCTCTAAAACTAAACAGTACAAAATTGTATGAAGGTGTTAAAAAATGTATTTGTAGAAAGAATGTAGGACTTCTTGGATTAACAAAAATTGGAAGCAGTCGTGTTGTTCAAGTATCTGCAGGCTTCATGATTTTCTTCTCTACTTTGGGTATAACTAAGGAATTCATACTTCTAGGCTTTACCACTATTGTACCACAATCCGCGATTCGAGCAGGTAATTCGGTACTTTTTTTTGCATCATACAAGTCCCTATTCGCAGAGAATTGCACTGTGTCCTCTTCTGCCTTATTTATTGGTAAGACCATCACAAAGAAATATGAGACAATATCTTCATCTCATTATATTTCTGTGATTGGCTGAATGCAGCTGCGGTTTGTCTCTCTCATTTCTTCAGTTCACAAACATGAACAGCATGAGAAACTTAATCATCACACCTAAATTCTTCGTTAAAAGAAAGACAGAGGCATGGCTTGGTGGATCAAGTTCAGAATATTCAAAGGCTTGGTGGATCAAGTTCAGAATATTCAGAGTAGACAACCGTATTGAAGAGTTCTACACTTTGCCCTATAACCTCAACGGATTCTTCCCTCCTATACTACTAGTAAAAGCCTAATATTATTAATACACTATGATTGACTTCTGATTTTTGGTAGTGGTCTCTAACTTACGACCCTGGTTGAAGTACATTTATACTTCAAAATTCAATTTCATCCTCTTAATTTAGAATTGTAGATTAAATAAGTCTTACTTAAATCATACTCCATCGGGTCCATAAGATTGATTTTTCTTAATTTGTGTGAAAAATCCAAAACATTATTCTTAAAAGAATGATGTAGAATTAATATTATTAAACTACAAAATAATAATAAAATTATAAATTTATGAACAGAGGGAGTATTTCATTATGAAAGTCAGTTATTAGTCTTAATCAATAGTCTTTGTCCAAAAAAAAAAAAAAAAAAAGTCTTAACCAATAGTCAATACAGTCATTAACACAACTTCTTGAACAGCTTTTTCAAAAATTTCTAATTGGTTCATAGCTCAACTTGAATAATTTGATGTACATGATTAAAAGAAATAACTCAAATTGAACATAAAAACTTCATTTAAAAAGTCATATTTTTTTATGAATTGGGGAAATAATCAGTAAGCCAGCTTTTTCACATCAAAGTAATAAAATCAGACGGTAATTCCATATTTTTAGCAACAATCATCATCGGTAATGTCCCCAAATAATAAAATCGAAATTTAGTTTATTTATAAAAAAAAATGTAATCGCCATGGCTCTGTAGATCGTAAAACAAGATCCACAGGTTCCTATCAGTAAGCGAAACACGAACATTTGTTTATGTCCAATATAGCGTCGAGCTAGGATCATAGCCCAAGAGCTACCTTCGACGTGGCATCGGACAATTTCAATTAATAAAGAAGAAAAAAAAAACAAAACAAAAAACCCTCAGCGGACCCTTGTCAAATCAACCACACAGCAGACACAGAAGTCACGCTGTTGTGTTAAGTGTCATACGGCACTTCCTATCTTTTGGGATTTCTTCTTCATCGGGTTTTAAAATTCAAAACTCAACATAAAACGATTTCAAGGAAACAGAGAATTTAAAAAAAAAAAAAAAATGCTAGAAAAAGTGGTTGAAGATATGAGAAAAAGAGAGAAGAGAATCTGAATTTATATAGAGGGTATTGAGGCGGCATAACTTAAAGCCCTAGCGTGTGTACGAGGCGGCATAACTTAAAACCCTAACGTGTACAAGGCGGCATAACTTGAAACCCAAGCGTTTGATCGAGTTACCTTATAGCCCATTAAGAGCCCATATGTATTTGTGTGCTGAATAGTGAATAATATATTATTGGGCCAGTAGATTGTGGAAGAATGCAAACAGAGAGGCTTTAACATCGCTTAGGATTTAGGAAGAGCGCTCCAACTACGATGATTGGTACTGAAAGTCTCAAACGGCTATGTTGTGCATATAATCTTAGAGAAAGGTACTGTCTTGTCATGTACTCATGTTTTATGAGTTTCTCCGCTCTGTTTTGAAGAAAAGTGCGGAATTGTGTTACAATGTTGCAGATGGAGAGGAAATTGAGTTTAAATCGAACATAAGTTTCATAGTTTAGTGAAGGACAAGGCTCTGTTTATATCAGAACTTGGGGCTCTTGCTAATAGTATTTCTCCAGAAGTTTTGGTTATATAGAGGTCCAATTAAACGTATTTTAGTCATTTGTATTTTGATGTTTGTATAAACCCACTGGATCATTATAATGTTTTGATTGATAGAAAAAGAGAGAGAAATATTCATTTTATTTACACTTGTGAACTGTGATCATCAATGAACTGAGTCCATCCCTCAAAGTTTCAATACTTTCCACAACAGAAATTCTACAGAAGATAACAATATTAACCAAGATGGAAGAAACTTCATCTCTCTCATTAACCAAAATGCCAATCGATCGATAGACTCAGCATCTTGCAGTCTCCTCACAGACATCTCATTGTATTGTCCCCTGTTTTTGCTGGGACATGTCATTAAAAGTGCTTAAAACATTTGTTCTAAATCGCACGCACAATTATGAGGTGATTGTTTATCACACACCGTCAAAGAAGTTAAACCATCAGATGTTTGACAAGTATTGCAGAGCTGAACATTAGATCCACTCTTTACTTCTCATAGTCATACTCATCAAACTAATAAGTTCGATTTGTCATTTGAAAGAAAGGAGAGATAAACGGAACCGAAACATAGTTGATCAATTATTTATTAAGGGAATTACAAGGCCCCAAAACACAAACCACCGAAGTTTTAGAAGAAACGAGACATGAACATGTAAGCATAACAGAGAGAAACAAGGTTTAGAAACCACCACGGAGACGGAGGACCAAGTGGAGAGTAGACTCCTTCTGGATGTTGTAGTCAGCCAAAGTGCGACCATCCTCAAGCTGCTTTCCAGCGAAGATGAGACGCTGCTGGTCCGGAGGGATACCTTCCTTGTCCTGGATCTTGGCCTTCACGTTGTCAATGGTGTCAGAGCTCTCTACCTCCAAGGTGATGGTCTTTCCGGTGAGAGTTTTCACGAAAATCTGCATACCTCCACGGAGACGCAACACCAAGTGAAGGGTAGACTCCTTCTGAATGTTGTAGTCAGCCAAAGTTCTGCCATCTTCAAGTTGTTTCCCGGCAAAGATCAATCTCTGCTGGTCCGGAGGGATACCCTCTTTGTCCTGGATCTTGGCTTTGACATTGTCGATGGTGTCAGAGCTCTCCACCTCCAAAGTGATAGTCTTTCCAGTCAACGTCTTGACGAAGATTTGCATACCACCACGGAGCCTGAGAACAAGATGAAGGGTCGACTCCTTCTGGATGTTGTAGTCAGCAAGGGTTCTGCCATCCTCCAACTGCTTTCCGGCGAAGATCAACCTCTGCTGATCCGGAGGAATACCCTCCTTATCTTGAATCTTGGCCTTCACGTTGTCGATAGTGTCAGAACTCTCCACCTCAAGAGTAATCGTCTTCCCCGTTAGGGTCTTGACGAAAATCTGCATACCACCACGGAGCCTGAGAACCAAGTGGAGGGTGGATTCCTTCTGGATATTGTAATCAGCCAACGTACGGCCATCCTCTAGCTGTTTTCCGGCGAAAATAAGCCTCTGCTGATCCGGAGGAATGCCTTCCTTGTCCTGGATCTTGGCCTTAACGTTGTCGATGGTGTCAGAGCTTTCCACCTCGAGGGTGATAGTCTTTCCGGTGAGAGTCTTAACGAAGATCTGCATCTGCAATTCAGAATAAACTGAGATTAATCGACAAATTCAATCGCACAAATAAGAATCAGATCCGATCAAGAAACTAATACCAGATCTGGATAGATCTCAAAGATAAAACTCAAATTCGTTGAAAAAATCGGATCAAATTCAAAGAATCGACGAGAAAATAAACAGATCCACGAAAACAACGAACCCTAATCGAGAATTAAGATGAGATCTAACGATCAAACACAGATATTTTTCTCCGATCAAAGATAAACAGAATCAAATTCAAAGAACAGAGACTTAATCACGATCGAACGAAACAATACGAAGAAACTGAAAAGGAACCCAGAAATCTACCTTGATCACGGTTGAAAGATTTGAGAGAATGATTTTAAGATTGTTTGAGAAATTTGGAATCTGAATTGTGAAGAAGATGAAGTCTTTGGGTATTCATTTATAGAAAAGAGAAGACGAAGACGACTCGGTCACGAGAAAGCTGAAGAAATAGCTAATTAAAATTTGACACGTGTGTATATTGACGTGTATTGACGCAACGTTTGTTTGGGTAATTGGCTAATTAATTGCTTTATTTTTAGGTTAGGAAAAGTATTTTGTGCTTTGAGTTGATAAACACGATTTCTGTGCCGGCGGCAACCACTTTATTAACGCCGTTATTTATTAACTTCGACAACCACAATTTCTAACGCCGTTATGATAGCCAGACGTTTTTTTTCTTTAATCAACGGTGGAGCCCATAATTGTACATTGGGTCCCATTTCTCAAAACAACAAAATGCGCTGCTTCATTACCAAACACGATGATCTCCTCTGCAAATAATTTTGGGATTACTGATCATAAATACAATCTTCTATCTCCTCACACAACACATTTTGACTGGGCACAAACAAAAAACACATACACAGTTACACACACACACACACTTTTTGGTCTTGGTGGTCTTTTATTTTCAAGCCGCGTCTACTCCTCCTTGTTGCTGTGCAAGATATCTCTCTCGTCGTTGCTTCTGGTAATTAGTACAGAAGATAAACACATTAAACATCAGTATCACACTTTCTTTGTTGTCTTATAAAACAAAACAATACAAAAAGAAGACGAGTGAGTAAGGCATGAAAAGAATGGCATTGCATGATGCTCACCCATTCATCGATCACAAGCCCTTCTCCAATTGGCTTTGGACCAACAATACCCTCTGATGCTTTCTTCCGTGCTTCATCTGCAGCATCCGCTTCAGCCAATTGACTCTTCAATTTCTCCATCATCTGTAGACAGAGAGGTAACAAGTTTAAAGATCAGTGATACTTAGAATTGTTTAAGCAGAAAAATGATCCCAGTTAAGTTCACAAATGATGGCGATAAGAACCAGAAAGAGAAGAAGAAGAATAAAGACTCACGGAGTTAGGGTTTTCGGGATCCAAGAATACCACACGCATTACTTGCTCCTCAGAGACATGATCTTTTTGCTCCTCAAACTGCAAAACACAAGAGCATCCACAATTCTTAGAATCCAAGAACAAAAGTCTTATATTATCTTATCTTCTCTTTTCTTTTCTGACCAGTAGTTTCTACAAGTTTCACATACCAGCTCAGGCATATAGTCTGTTGGGACTTTCATCTTCAGGCTCATGATTTTAAACTTAACCCCGCTCTTTTGTTCCATCGGCTTTTCATTATTCTCAGGAGGCTCAACAAACTTAAAAACTAAAAGATTCAACAAGACATAGAAACAAACAGTCACCACATAATCCTCGAGGCCAATGCTCAAAATACCCTAATCAAACAGTACAAAGAAGCAAATATACAAGAGAAGCAAATACCGGTTGCGATAATTTCTTCCCCAGGAGAAAGAATAGCACCAGCCGGGCGCATGAAGCAACTCTTTGGTTCTGTTGTTTGAAACTGAATAAACCGAGATAATCAGCAGAGATGACAACAACCATAATCAAAAAGCTTTTTGAATCCATAACAAACCTTAAACGCTACATGTGACTTGCTCGTATTCTTAATCTTAATGGCACTCCTGACTTGCTTCCCAGGCTCATCTGCAAACAAACTAATTCATTACAATCTCATCCCAATAAAGACTGAACCTTCAAATTGACAACACTCAACAAATTTTGGTCCACCATTTTATTCCAAAGAAAACATTAGTCCTAAAGTTTGCCCAATGGCTTATACAGTTTATAGTAACGTAACAATTCCTACAAGTCAACATCACCATCTTCAGTACCCAATTTCAATTTTATCAGATTTCGAAACTGTTTGGATCATAGTGTGATATTGACTCACAAGGGAGGTAGAGTTTGGCTGAAGGATAAAGTTTTGCTGAAGGATCAAGGGGAAGAAGTGATCTCGCGAAGTGATCTCGCGACAGATGACATAGAAGGGATCGTGGCGGTGGTTGATGATGGTTTTGACCCAATCCTTCGACGACAGGAGGTCCGTGATATTGGAAATGGCGAGATTGATGAATGTAATTTTGATTGAGATGAGAAGATGTTGCAGAAGAAGTAGCCATGGAAGAGGCGGAGGAGGATGAGGTAGCTTGAGCGTTGGAGTTTCGAAAGGGGAGCTTGAATTTGCCCCGACGGCGACCATCGGAACCGGATTTTTCCTCCGTTAATGCCATCGGAGAATCGGATGTAAGGGGAAGGATTAAACTGGATTTGATTGTGCTGGTTTCAAGTCCGGGTTGGTGTTTTTCGATTAAGCGGAAGTCATCAGAAGTGGAGAAGAAGAGGTAAAACGCAGATAGGAATAGCGTTTAACACGATGGCGTTTTGGATTCGCTTTAGGGTTTGACTGGTTTAAACGCAGCGGTTGCGGTTGCGGTTGTGGGAGTTTGCGGAAGCAGGCGATTGCGGTTTCAAGCGTTATTTAGCGTTTTGACCGATTGGTTAAACGGTTGTAAACGGGTGCGTTTACGGGAGATTTACGACTCGTTGATCAGCGGATACGATAGCGGTTAAACCAAAATTTACCAAAATAAATTTAATATATGATTATAAAAAGTATAAAACACCAAAAACTATAATTATGAAAAAGTATAAATTTTTTAAATATGATTAATGATTAAAAACCTTAAATAATTATTCAAATAAATTTTATATTTAAAACAAAAAATAATTATTAATATTATAAAATTAAAATTAAATAATTATTTTTTTTAGAATTAACGTGAATATATATGACTTGATAATATATATTTATTATTTTTTTTTAAACCAACCGCAACCGCCCGCAACCGCAAACGCTTGCGGGAAAGAGCTTTTTTGATATCCAGCGATTTCGAGAGGTTCGAAGCGGTGTGGAACGATTTCTGTGATTGGACCAACCGCTAACAACCGCAACCGACCGCTAACAGCCGCTAGGCGGGTGCTAGCAGGAGAACCAATCAAGCCCTTAAACTACTTTTTGGTTGTTGTAGTGATTACGTTCTGGAAAAAAATTAGCAGTAAAAAATAATTAAATAACTAAAACTTAATAAACAAAACAAAAAACTTACAATCTTCATTTTTTGTTTTCCCGCTGTAAATTTTTGCTCTTTGATAATAATCATTCAAATATATATCTTTTTAACACAAATAATTTTACCATTTTAACGTTATAGTCAAAACTATAATATCTCACATGTTACAAAATATAATGCGGGACAACACGAACACTTCGTGCCGATAAATCCACTTTAAAATTAACTTTACAAAAACTAGAGAGAGAAAATGATGAAAAAACTTTCGTATTTTTTGTTATTATTCTAGACATATTTCAAAATTGAACATTCTATCAGCATAGACATTATCTTCACCAGATTAAAACAATGTGTGAGAAAGTAAATCTATCTTATTTTCTACAATCAGGCTTCTCATCGCCACATTAATAATGGAATGGTGAAAGACTTCGACAATTTTGATGCCACATCAATAATGAAGTTACATGCTCCATAAGTGATGCCACATTATTAATTTATTAGCTTTTGAACTACCATCCTAAACCCAAAAAACAATTTTGTTCTTTCCATAAACCATCGATAACACGCGTTATCCATTATTTCATCGTATATGTAGAGGGGAAACAATTCTAGTATCATCCAAATGGACCAAACCTACCAATATCAGCATTTTTGTTTAGGCATGTTTTGATAATTTGCTGAGTTAAGAAATCAAGTTTTACTCGGCAAACAATTTTACATTATCTAAAAATCGACAATTAAAGATTGCAGGTTGGAGTTTATTAAAATGCAAAATAACCCCTATGCAACATTTTGTATCATCCTCTTTAATAAAAACAAACATTTTGTATAATCTATAGTTCAATCCACATGTAAATACTTGATTTGGTGAAGACAAACCATTATCTTCATCGATTTACTTTTCATTTTATACATGATTTACATCAAACACAATTACACAAAATACAAAGAAACGAAAAAAAAAAGCTATTCACAAAGAAAAGAAAAATACAAACTCAAAACACAAACAACAAACTGTTTTGGTTTCGTTTTCTTTTCTATTATTCTCTTAACCAGATCTAACAAGATCCCCAACAGCTCAGAAACATAACAGTCCTCAAAGATTCCTCCGCCTGTCTCAGCCTCTCACTCGCCGCCGCACCAAATCGACTCGATTCCAGATCTCCTTTAAGCCTCCTCACCGACGACGACGACGACACACTCTGCGGCGACGAGACCGATTCTTTGACGGCAGATCTTAAAGTCGTCGTTGTATCTCCGCCGCTACTACCGGTAACACTCTTCTCCTTCATCAACTTACCGGAAAACTGATTAATCACTCTATTCATCCGATTTTATAAATTTCGATCCTTAAGATTTTTTCTACTAATTATGGCTTTTCAGATTCCGAAGAGAGTTTTTTTTTCTTTTTGGAAGAGTGAGAGATGTTTTGGTTATATAGAGGGAGAAGTGAGTGAGCCATATGATTTGTGAGAAACTACCGGCTCAGACGGTATAAACCGGAGGCTTGACGAATCGTTGGATAAATGACTGACACGTGGCGGTCAAAGGAAGGTTCGCGACATGTGTTGGTGTGGATATGATCGAAGAGGAATGGATATTTTATTACTTTCGTTTTACTTTAAATCATTTTCGTTTTTGAAAAAGTTATTTATAATATCTGTGTCGTTTTCCGTTGGATAATTATGAATCATTACGATGTTTTTTTTTTTTTTACTTTGACGAAGAAATTAGTTGTTTCATTAATCGTTGGATAACGTTTTTTGTTTTGCTTCACTTTTGTCTAATTATACTATATAAATTCTTCTTTTGATAAGTTGTCTACTCGGATTTGACCAAGTTTGTTTTTATAAATTTTTTTTATTTCAGTCGTGCTTTTTCTTCAACATGTCTTTATAGTTTATAGTAATTTTTTAATATTAATGTTTGTGGTTACAACTTACACAATTCGAAATCACAAAATTACGATACAATGTTGAAAAAAATTACAATCGTTTTCATGTCATTATATTGTATTGTACATGATCGAAAGAGCAAACCATGAATAGGTGAAGGTGGGAGATTAAGGGACTTATAGAAAAAGGATTTTTATGTTAAGAATGAAGTTGCAGGTTTTTCTGGGAATGCTGCGATCTGTCTTATTATCACAAATGAAAGGGCTATATATATAGCCTACAGATGAAGACTCAGTTAGCAACCACGTCTAACTAAGTCTAACAACTTGTTGACTCCTTATACATCGGAGACTTATTCAAAACCAATAAACAAACTAAGACCAAATCAAAACCCAACATTTTAGTTGTGTGGTAAAGTGGCAAGCTTGTCTGCCACTAAGTTGTTTTTATTTCATGTATACACACTACTTGAGCCTCGGCAAAAAGTTTGATCAATTGTTATAAGCCATGCACCAAGTTCTTCATTCGTAAATTTGTTGTTTGCATGTTGATCAATTTATTTGTAAACACCCCTCTCATCTAATACAAATATACAATCCAAACCGAACATATATGTACCATGGAAAACTACCATCGTGTCGTGATAATTATTTGATACAACCATTTGGTGGTGGTAGCTGATATTTGGTAGTGAATGATAGTATAGGTGTGAAGTATCCAAGTTGTCGTATATTTGAAAAGCATGCATTCACTCTTAAACCCCGTCTCTTGCTTTGTGAAACTGATCCGAAGGTTTTATCATTTTATGGAATTGATAATCATATCATTGTTTTGGATTTGCAAAGTCTATATGTTAGCCAAAAAGATACCAATAAATCACCCTTCCAAATATATATTTTGGCCGAATTAGCACACTACAAAAAAAGATGAGCATTGATAGCATATTAGGATAGCACGGTTTTCGTAATTGCTATTAAAGATATTGTTTGAGATTTGATAACAATATCATAGCATTTCAACAATGCTAAGCCTTATAATAGCAAAACAAAAGACGAAATTCACTCTGAACCGCCAATACTTACCAAAATTTTTACAAGTAGCGCCCAACCAAAAAAAAAAATTTACTCTGGACTAAAAAAAACCTAATTACTCTCATTCTTCTTTATCCTCTCATACCTCGTCACTCGCTTCCTCTCCAGATTCTTCACTTCTCCCCACACAAAACAAAGCAAAGATCTCTCTCAGATCTGAATCCTTCATCTCCAATCTCTAATGGCGGCACCACCAGCATCATCCTGGGCAAGGGAAGAGTTCGTTTACCTCGCAAATCTCTCTCTCTCTTCTCTCAGATCTGAATCCTTCATCTCTGATCTCTAACGGCGGCACCACAACTAGATTTTGTCGACAAAGACGAACTCACCGTCGAGGAACGTAAAATCCTCTCTGTGACTTACAAAATCGTTATCGACGCACGTCGTGCTTCGTGGTTGTGTTTAAGACTCCCAGGTAAATCTCCGAAGCCTCCGGTCTTAAATCAAAATCTGGAATTTGGCTTGATTTTGTTGGATCTATGATTTTAGTTTCTAGGTTCATGATTTGTGAATCTGTTTTTCTTGCTTTCGTTTCTCTCTTTACTGATTATGTTCTCAAATCTTTTCATAATTTGTAGTGCAAATCGTAGAAACGTTTCATGTATGACATTGTTGCTAATGGTCGAATTGGGATTGATGTGGACAAGTAATTCTATCTATTCTTTACTCCTATACTTGTCTGCAGTTTCTGTCTTTTCCTTTTCATGAGAGTGTCTTTCTTTCCCTTTTCACTCATCGTGATGCTTAGATTTACACCTTTGTCTTTCAAAGTCAAATTCTAATTTCTACAAAATTTTATAGGTTTGACTAGTTTGTCGTGATTCTTAAGCTTGTGGACCTTATAAGGAAGAGGTGGAACCTGTTGAGGACGAATTCTCGCGAAAGAGGTAGTCTTTTAAGAATATGTATACCTTGCTCTTTTCTTTTCTTTTCTTTATTCTGATGATTTCAAAGCTGTGTTTTTTTGTGATGTGGTGTGGTTTGTTTACTTTAAGAGTATTTGCAGCTAATGCTTTCTCTTGGTCTCCACTAGTTTTGGATCATTAATTCGATTTTTGTAGCTTTGATTCACCTTGATTGCAATCTTGTTTTTTTTGCTAAACGTCTGTGATAGTGAGTGATACAATGCAAAATTCTAGGCTTTAAGATCAACTACAAGTTCCTTGTAGATAAGTACACTAGTATATTACTGTTTTAAGGTGAAACTAGCTCAAATAGTTTCTACGGAAAACATGTTAAGCTTTCTCTATGTTCTGGGATGTTGTGTTTGTTTTGTGGGTTAAAAACAGATCAAAAGCTATCTCCGGAAAGTCTCAACCATTCTGTTTAGATACACTACTTGAATATAGAAAGTGCATCATCTGTCAAGTAAGTCTAGATTTGGTTTCATTGCTCTAGTACCAAATCAATTCTTTGTAGAAACCTATATTTAGATTGGTGATAAAACAGATTAGTTTCTTAAGAATTAATTAATGTTCATGTGTTTGTTTATTTGACAGGACGAATATGAGCCGAAGGATCAAAATAAAAATTTGTTCATGAGGTACTTCTAGCACTAATTAAATTTTTTAATTTAAAACGTAAATCATTGATATTGTTTTTTAAAGATCTTCTGTATGGTGTATGGAATGTTGATCCTTGTTATAATGCCTTAAAAACTAGATTGACCATTGATCATTAAGTGTTGAACAAGCTCGCTATTATTGTTGTTAATTTAGAAGCTTTAATCCAACAAATCCTTTTCTATTGTCGCGTATTCATCTTCAGCCATAGATAGACACAACTTTTTTGTATTCATATAAGAAATAGATTTATTTCTTTCTTTCCGTTATGTCTATCTCATACACACATGCTTACAGGATTATGCACAGAAATGCTGACTGGAAGGCGAAACTTAAAGATGAGACGAGATTGAAGTTTATCTTTATGATGTTAGCTTTATTTTGTTTAATACTTGATATGATGTTATGTAAAAATAGATAATGTAATATTATGTATGTTGATGATTTATGAAATATAAAAATTATATTAGAAATTCATTTAAATTTTGTTTTGCAAAACAGGATTCAAATATAATAATTATAGATAAATCTAATTAAATTTCTATAGCAAATATAAAAATTGCTACAATACAATATAAAATAGCACTAAATGAATGCTATAATATAGTATATTACAGCATTCTATTACCGCTACAATTCAACGACTTTTAATAGCATGTTAAAAAACGCTATCGTATGGGTAACACCTACCATAGCTGCCGATGTCATAGCATTTGTGAATTCGCTATGTTATATGTATGATAGCAGATTTTTCGCGCTAACAATGTACATATTTCTTGTAGTGGCATATAGGAGATTTCTGTGGGAGTACTACCGACTGCGGAATACTCTTCAGAGAAGAAAATAGAAAATATGACCAAATAGATGGTGGTACAGTAGCGTTTGGGAAAGATCTCTCCAAATAAAAGTATAAGCATTCTTCCCACTAGTTTGAAATGCTTGTTAGAGAGATAGTTACCAAAAATTTAGGGAGATTACGAGTCGAAGATATGTAACATTCTGATTAAACAAAAAGAGAAATGGGATTATGGAGCAATTGCAAACTTGATTGACCAATAGTAATTGTCAAAATATGTGTAGGTCCTTATATCTACAACCCTTTCTTTTATGGATACGATACATACGTTTCCATCTTGTGATCTAAACCACATAATGATTTTATCTTTTTTTCTTGCAGTTGAACGTTACCAACATGACAATAGGATTTCACTTGTAGTCCTTTTCAAAAATTTGAAACAGGACATATAATATACCGACATATATATAGTTAAAGCAAACATAGTCATATCAACAAACAAATACTCTCAATTTTTTTTATAGGATCTTGTAGTTAAGAAGTTATAAGATATTTACATATAAGTTGATTGCATATATGTTCATAATTTCTATAAGTTGTTTATAGTTTGTCTCCATAAATTTATCTATCGAATCATTCACATCTTAAAAGTATTGTAAAGTATGGTCCATGGATGAAGCTAATTAAACCTTCCGGCTTCAAGGGTGATTATTATGTGGACCAACAAACTACCATCGTGATTATTTTGATTCATCCATTTGGTGATGGCTTCGGTTTTGTGGTGATGATGATGGCAGTATTGGTGAAATATGCAAGTTGTCACATATTCGAGTAGCTAGCATGCACTTTTGGACACTATATTGTCTCTGGATTGTGAATTTCATCTGAAAGGTTCCCATATTTTACGGTTAATAGCTAGATCATATTTTATTTACAAAATTTCCATTGCTAGCTAGAATTAGAAAGGTAGTAATGTATCACCATTCTAAATATACATGTTTTTAGCCGAAATCTGCAAATTTCTCCATGTAATACCGACTTCGCAATTCACTCTTGAGAGAAAATAAGGGGGATTATGGAGCGATTGTATAGGTCCCTAAATCCCAACCTTTTCCGTTTCTGGATACGACGACCTACGTTTCCATCTAAGCCACATAATTTCAATTTTGCTTTTAGTTTGAACCCACAAAATTAAAAACGAGGACAAGATTCCATTTATCTAATAACAAGTGGTTTCAGAAATTTGAATTATGACATAAAATAGACTGACATAGTCAAAAGCTAGACGAAACAACATAACCATAGCCACAAACAAATACTATTTTCTTTATTTATAGGATTTTTTAGTCAAAAGACTCAAAACCACGAACATTAATCTCTATACTATTAAAAGAGAAGTACAAATGAAAATGGGTCGGGTTAAAATCAGAAAATTGACCCGAAATTCTAAAATCGGATCTTTGAAATTTTTTTGGAATATAAATTCGAATTAATAATGAAAAATCGAAATAAAATCAAATATTTATGGAAATCAAATAAAATCTGATTGTACTTATGGTAACTAATAATAAAAGCATATTCCGAACAATATTATACATTAATTATGTATAATAAATTTGTTCATATATTTTTGGGACTAATTCCATAACAATCAACGTTTTTGTCATTAATTTTGCTCATTTTAGCCAATTATCATTAATTGAAAGATATTTTATTTGCTTCTAAAGATTTTTAGAAAATTTATCACAAATAACCCATCTGTTTTATAAATTAAACTAGATCCTGACCCGCACGTATGTGCGGGGTTTCATATTTTAAGACTATAGCCCCCTCGATATTTCATATTTTATTAAATATCGATTATTTTGTTATTTTGGTGATATATATTGTAGTGTATAAATTATAATGTACACAGAAAAGTGTAAAATATTATTTATGACACAATAGCTAATGTTGTGAACCGCACAGTCGTGCAAGTTGTAAGTTTTAGCATATGGTTTTTGATTCAAGTTTGTATTAATTTTTTTTTGTGTTAGTGAACTATATTAGTATATATATATCATAAATTTATCATATTTGAAAATAAGATGTGCGGAAAGAAATGTAAAAATAGTAGCGTTTGCAAAAAGTTTTAGTTAAGATTTTTTTTTAGTGAATTATATAATAGCATAGATGTCATAATAATAACATATTCATTGGAAATTTATCTTTTGTTTAAAAAAAAAACTTTGGTACACACTTTATTTCTGTTTTATTAGTTTTATAATTTGAATAAATTTTTTAGTTATTTAAAGATTTAACGATTTATTTGCATCATTTATTAGTGTTTTATTTATATAAATAGTTTGGTTTTGCTGCATAACAGATAATTGTAACAGTTTCAGAAGTCAGGGGATTAATAGTTATAAAAGAAATGTATAATTGGGAAAGAATATTAGATTTTAAAAAGTGTAAAATTAAATTTTGGTAATGCAACATTATTGTTTATAAATTAAAATTTGGTTATTCAGAAAATTACTACATCTAAAGCTACTGCCGCCACCACACCTACAACTACTGTCATCACCGTCGTCTCAGGAATCTCCTCCACCGCCAATTGAGATCTGATGCATTCTTGGTGGGAATGAGTGTCCAAGCAATGCTCTTGCATCATCTCTACTCTCTGGCGATTCTCACTCGGAAGATGGCAACGTAAATCTAAAAATTTGATACATCTATAGCGGATTGTAATCGACATGCTTTATCGTTACTTTCTTCTAGCACTGCTTAATGATCTCGGTCTCTTGTTTCAATCCATCTTTTAGTTCTAGATCTTTATCCGCTTTTATACAAATATATAAAAGAGAAAAATAAAAAATATTTATAGTCTAATAATGATAATAAAAAAAAATATAATAATAATTAAAAAAAAAAACACACACTTAAATTGGTGCTCGCAAAGAAGAAAAACATATAAATTATCTTTTATAGTTGATTATATCTAACAAAAAAGAACAACTATATATTTGTTTACATAAAAGTACTTATTCTTGTTAAGATTGTTTACAAAAAAGAACATAAGCTGCAAAAGAGTGATCTCAATGAAAAGGTCTCCAATAGATTCTAAAAAAAAGTAGAAACTAACAAATTATATGAACATGGAAAAGACATGAAGAAGAGTACAAAAGTAATTATAGAGATTATGGTTCATCTTTTAGTTTGCGAAAGAAGTAGAGAAGAATAGTTTTATAGTGAAGTATAGAAGAGTGATAAGGGTTTGTTTAGATTTTTCTAAAAGTTATGCTCCTAAAATTTTGCAAATCTAAAACCATAAAGATTACGAAATCGAGTTTATTAATCAATCACAAATTTTCTTTTCTATTAAAAATGTTAATAAGTTTTAAGATTTTCAAAATTAATGAAAAATCAATGGCATATCTTTAAAATAAAGTAAGATAACAAAAAAGGAAAAACTATTTGAGTTACCACAAATAATTTTAAATTCTTTGACATATATTAAAATGGTGTTGATTTTGCTAAGTATATGTTCATTTTTTAGATTTTGATATATTAAGGATTTGACTTTATATAGTTATATAAAACAATGAATTCGTTTTTTCCAATTTCATCTAGCAATCTATTATTTTAAACATGAAGATCATGACCATTGAGTACTATTTTTATTTGATCTAATTATCTTATACAATAATGAATAATAATATATATATTTGTTTTAAATATTATTGGTTTGTTAGGTATTGATAAGAAAAAATTTCGAGGGTTATTTTGCACAAAACCCTTTTTAATATGATAAATCTAAACTTAGGGAATTTTTATTGATACACCGATTTATTATGTGCACAATAAGAGATTGAAGGTATCTTTTTTAAATGATTTCAAAATTATTAGTGTAGTTTCTTAAGGAAATAGATTAACATCTAAAATATATGATGATATTAAATTGATTTTTTTCGTTTAAGAAATTATCTCAAAATATATTACCAAATTAAATAAGTTTCTATATATACAATTTCGAAATCAATAGCCTGATTTTTATGAAAACTACTGCCAACAATTTCCATAAATATTGCTAATTTCTTGATTTTATGGAAATTACTTCAATTACCTTTTTCGATTTTTTTTTCTTTTTTCATATTCAAAAATTCCAATGGCATTAAATGTAATATCCTACAACAAAAAGGTCTTTTATGTTTTAGTGATTCCCAATTAATAGTATAGATTGATATTTTTATTTTGGTCGTGTAAATTAAATAGATATTTTTATTTTGGTCGTGTAAATTAAATAGATATGAAATCCATGTAACTAATTTTAATTTAATTAGATTAAATTGAAATTATGATATTTTCATACCTATAGCTTACCAAAGAAGTTTAATTTTCAATTTATAAAGATTTTTTTGAATATGATATTAGAATTATTCAACAAGATGATAAGTATTTATTAAATTTTGTGAATCATGAAAAATAATAATTAATTTTTAATCATTATACTTCATCTTTCAATCTCTCATCTAACAAATAAGATACATATTCTATTATTACTATGTCCAAACTTCATTTTGTTGTATGACTAAATAATATTCCCATTAGAACTGTCAAAGCGAGTTGATCCGTCCCGTTAAGTCCGTTTTGCGATAGACAAAAAATATTTTGACTTCTGTTAGTCGGTCCGCACGACCCGCGGGTAGCATATATGAAATACAAACCCGTCCCACGAATGTATGCGGATTTGCGGGATTTTCTATGGATTTTGTTTAAATAATTTTAAAGTAACCAAAATTTAAAATACTACTAAAATAAATAAATAAATAAAAATACTATTAAAAGTTTGTTTAAATTACCACATGTTGAATAAATTATAATTTTATCAATAAATACTAATATGCGGGCTGATCCGCCAACCCGCAGATGAAAAGCGATTAAACCTATGACCCACTGCGAATTAATCCATGTGGCCCGCTTATTTGCGGGTTTAATATATTTTCCCAAATCTGCTCCATAGTGAGATGATGTGGGCTCAACCCGCGGTTTTTGACCTATTTTGACTGCTCTAATTCCCATGAATCGTCTAATTTTAGAATTTTAAAACACAAAATTCTATTTTGTAAATCATAATTAATACGATGGGTATATTTATAAATAATTTTACATTTTCTCTACAATTCGTTATTATGAATATTTATAAGTATACTACACGATTCGTTCTACTAAAAAACACACACAATATTAAACGCAACGTATGTAAACCAATATTCTCCCGCGGTGGACCGCGGGTCCGATCCTAGTAAGTTATAGAACTTATCTATATTTTTCCAAAGTATTTATTATTATATAACAGAACTTATATATATATATATATATATATATATAAGCCAAAAAAAATTATATCACCTTATTAAAAAAATATTAATAAGATAGATCACTAAAATAATTGATATGGATCAAGTTGACCTCAAGTTACTCCTTCAAATTAAGAGATCGTCGTAGTATTTAAGGGTCAGATTAACAAAGTTCTTTTGTTCACACAGAAAGTTATTAGTCTCGACATTAAGCTAAATTGAAAATATGGTGAATTAAAATAGCAAACATAAACTAAATCGAATTGTAAATCAGATGGAAAAAATGTTAGACTTAGGAAATTTACATTTGTTTGTAAAAAACACAACTATTGGAACAAAGAGTTGTGATAAAAAAAAAATAAGAACAAAACATGGTGAAAAAAAAAAAAAAAATCTAAATGAACATATATAATTTTCTAAAAAGACACAACCGTAAAGAGTATTTTTCAAATTGTTGAAAATTTAAAAATGTATTTAACGAATAATTACGATAAAGACGTAACCATAAAAATTATTCGGATTGTTATTGTTATATAGATTTAATTTTTGTAACTAATTAAAAGATCATATTTTCCGGATTGGATCATAACATATCCTCGATAAGGCCATATTTATCGGGGGAACCTATGGGCTGTTCTTAGAGTAAACAAATAATAAAAATTGGGTTTAGAAAGTTAAGAACAGGTGAAGTGGTCTTGGGCTAGATCAGTTTTAAGCCCGTTCTCGCGGTGACGTGTCAGGCTGGGATTGGGTACCAAATTTGATATCGGAAATCTTTTCTCATTTGGGCGAAAATCGTTTCTAATCTAGGGTTTGTCTCTCGAAACATCTTCGTCGGCGATTTTGTCCGCCTTTGATACTTCGCCGATTTCGGGCCGATTTCCGGCAAAATCGGAGCCAAATCTTCACCCTGCTTCGTTATTTGCTATCTCGTGTCATTTACCTTTCATTTTAGTTCTTCTTTTTGCCGATACAAAGAAACAGAGAGAAAAGAAGAAAATGGCGGCGAATGGAGGAGCTACGGCGGCTGGTCAGCCATCTGCAGACTCCGGAGGCACATGCTGCTGCTTGGAACATCTTCAAGGTGAGAATTTCAGTCTTAGAATTCTCTGATTTGATTTATTTCATAACCTCTCCACTTGTCTATTGAAAAGGAGACATTTGTTTGCCAACAATATCGTCTCTGTTTTTTTTTTGTTGTTGTTTGCAGAGCGCAGAATGCATTCTGGTTCCTGGTGGTTTTGGAGATCGTGGCGTGAGCGGAATGGTTTTAGCAGCCAAATACGCTAGAGAGAACAAAATTCCTTATCTTGGGATCTGCTTGGGGATGCAAATTGCAGTAATTGAGTTTGCCAGATCTGTAAGAAATGTTTTGCAAACTCTGAAATAACTTCAACTTGTTGTGTTCCTTATCTCTCTTCCTAAGACTATCTTCTTAATGTTCTTCTTCTTATTCTCTGACATGGGTTACAGGTTTTGGGTTTGGAAAGAGCAAATAGCACCGAGTTCGATGCTCAGACATCTGACCCTGTTGTTATTTTTATGCCAGAAGTATGTATTCCAAACATGTATTCATAAATCTATCAATGGAGTCCATTCATTCTCTCACTGTTGTTGATATTACCACAGGGCTCAAGAACACATATGGGAAGCACAATGAGACTTGGATCCCGAAGAACACATTTACAGAACCGAGACTCTCTCACTTCAAAGCTGTAAGTTTAAAAATTGCATTTATCTTTGCCGTTTCCTTGAGAATCCTTGTAGTTTTCAGTTCACGGTTTTAAAGACAGCAAGTTGTTTTCTCTCCGGGCATTTACCAGACAGCAATGACGTGAAAAAGGTGTCTTTCTTTTGATGATGTTAGGTGAATCCAGAAGTAGCTCAAGCACTTGAAGAAGCTGGTTTAAGATTTGTGGGTAAAGATGATACAGGGAAACGAGTTGAGGTATAGAAAATGAGATAAGAGAAAACACCATCTTAGTGTTGGTCTCTCTCTCTCTCTCTCTGTCAAAATCTTATTTGTTTGTTTCAACAGGTGATTGAGTTTCAAGATCATCCATTCTATGTTGGAGTTCAGTTTCATCCAGAATTTAAGTCAAGACCTACTAGACCTTCTCCTCTGTTTTTAGGCAAGTCTTGAGAAACACTTTGTCTCATATGGTCAAAGAGCTGTCTTGAAGTTTGCTCAGTACACTGGTGCTAATGCAATTGCTGGAAGACATACTCCTGGTACTTTCACTAACCAAATGCAGACTTCTTTCAGTGAGCCTAGGTTGTTGATTAAACTAACTACAAGTGTTTGTTTTGGTTGTGAGACATGTAGGTGAGGTAGCTCTGAAGTTTAAATCGGAGTAGCAACACCAACAACCATTTCCTGCCAACGATAAGGTAATTCCCTACTCAATATAGTTTTGATTAGCTGCTGAAGTATCTAGTAAACTGGAGTTCTTGTTCTTGTTCTTGTTTCAGATAGTTGAGTAGTGCTTTGTTAATAAGTGGTGAAACCTAGTAATGTCTGTTTAACTTTCTAGTTGTAAACAGACTAGTAATGTCTGTTTAACTTTCTTGGTTGTAAACAGACTAGTAATGTCTGTTTAACTTTCTAGTTGTGGAAAGTTATAATAAATACTGATCTGACCTTGGTAGTTCAAGGTTAGCTCTCATTATGAGTTTGCTACTTTAAAGCTTTTTTGGTTTGAAAGTGTCTTTATACCTGATTTGATTGTGGTAGGTAATGATACTTTAAGACTAATAACTAGTTTAACTTGCCTCTATTAAACCAGAGGTTTGTTAAATTCATTATCTCCTCTTTGAATCTCTCCTTTTACCTAAGCTTTTACTTCTCTTCCTTCTATTAAGTTGTCGGATATGGGTTCAAATAACCATCCAAATAACCATGTCAATCTCAACCATACTATAGTCTCCAAAACTTCCCTTACGGCAATTTTTCTTCCAATGCAAACATTTCCTTCTCTCAAATCCCTTCTTTTAGTTCACAACCGAGCTCACCACCAGTTCAAGCTGCAAGTCAACCAGAAAAGACACCAAGGGAGAGAAGGCTTTGGACCAGCAAGGATGATCTTGTTCTTATAAGCGGCTGGTTATACACATCAAAGGATGTGATAATTGGGAATGACCAAAGGTCAGGTGCCTTTTGGAAGCGCATAGGAGAGTATTATGCTTCTAGTACTCATGTACTAAATGGGGCTGAGCCAAGGCTCCCTGACCACTGTAGGCAAAGATGGCAAAAAATCCATAGGTATGTCGCTAGGTTTTGTGGAGCTTATGCTGAAGCAGTGAGTGAGAAAGCCAGTGGCATGAATGACTTGGACATTCTCAAGAATGCTCACCAGATATACGCTATCAAGTACAAGAAGAAGTTCAGTTTGGAGTATGCATGGAATGACCTTCGCTACGAACAGAAATGGATTAACCTGGAGCCTATGAACCCTACTTCAAAGACAACCAGCTCTAACAAAAGAAAAGCCAATGATGCTGCACCATCTTCCGGATCAAATGTTGGTGAGCAAGAGAGTAGGCCTCCTGGTATAAAGGCAATGAAAGCCAAGAGGAACAAAGGTAAAGACAAGGTAGGACCAGCTTTGGCGTCTGATAACATGTGGGAGAAGAAAGAGAAGGATATGCTGATGAGGGAAAAACTCCAAAAGATGTCTGTTTACAACACTCTCCTTGCCAAGAATGACACACTGGATGAAGATGAAAAAGTCCTTAAGAAGAAGCTAATGTTTGAGCTGTTTTAATTTAGGCAAAACTTAGTTAATTTACCTTTGTATTGATGTCTGTTTTAACTATGTTTGTCTGAGATGTTTCTGTTAGGTAAGTTTTAATGGCTGTGATGGTTCTGTTTTAACTACCTTTGTATTGATCTCTGTCTTTATTTCCAGTTTCTGATTTGCTTGCAAACTTCTCTCTGTGTTGTTGGTTTCAGGTTGAAGAAGACATGGGACTTGACTCTATGTATTTAAGCTTTACTTTGTATTGATGTAATCGAGTATGTAATGTAAAAAAAGTCAGATGTCATGTTGAATCAATACCCGAGAGTCACATGTGTTTGGATTGTAGTATTAAAGCAAGAGTCACATGTGTTTGGATTACTTTCTTTAAAGCAAGAGTCACATGTGTTTGGATTGTAGAATTAAAGCAAGAGACACATAGATTACTTTCTATAAATATGTGATTCATACCGATGTTTCTCTCATCAAAATCAAACTTCCTATAACTCTCTCAAACTTCCTTCTCTAATATTTTCTCATCTTCGTATTCGGTTCCTTTTTATGGCTTCTTCTTCCAATCATTTTGACTTTCATCATGGATCTAATAATGATGATGATTTTTTTGACCAATATTGTGACGAACAATTTGATAATCTATGTGATGCTACTGAAGAGGTTATTCCGACCGAAAGGAAGAAGCGTACTTATATAGAAAGAAATCGGGAAGACGGGCACAAACAGTTGTGGGAGGATTATTTCTGTGATAATCCGACTTACACGGAGAACCTATTTCGCAGACGGTTTCGCATGAACAAGGCATTGTTCCTGCGTATTGTAAATCGTCTCGCAGCCGAAGTGCCATATTTTAAACCAAAAAAAGATGCCACCTTCCGGAATGGTATATCACCGCTACAACAATGTACTGCAGCAATTCGACAATTAGCATATGGGGCTGCGGCGGACTCGATTGACGAATATGTACGTATTGGTGAAACGACGGCACGTCAATGTTTGGAACATTTCGTCGTCGCAATAGTTGATTTGTTTGGCAATGAATACCTACGCCGACCCACACAAGAGGATCTTGAAAGACTACTCTTTTATGGAGAACAACGGGGTTTTCCCGGGATGGTTGGAAGCATCGACTGCATGCATTGGAAGTGGAAGAATTGTCCAACCGCTTGGAAAGGAATGTATTCACGAGGGACCGATAAACCAACAATTGTTTTGGAGGCGGTAGCTTCTCCTGATCTTTGGATATGGCACGCGTTTTTTGGAGCGCCAGGTACTTCTAACGATTTAAATGTTCTTGATCAATCACCAGTATTTAATGACATTATTTACGGTCGAGCACCCAAAATGAACTACTATGTCAACGGAAGGGAGTATAATTTGTCATACTATCTGACGGATGGTATTTATCCCGAATGGGCGACTTTTGTTAAATCCATCCCACAGCCTCAACACCCGAAACATTCCTTGTTTGCACAACGTCAAGAAGGTGCACGAAAAGATGTTGAGCGTGCTTTTGGAGTCCTACAAGCTAGATTCGCCATGATTAAAAATCCATGTCGGTTTTTGTCTAAAGGCAAAATAGCATATATTATGAGAGCATGTCTCATACTCCATAATATGATTGTCGAAAATGAACGCCATTCATACACTCTCTATGACGAAGAAGAATTCGAAAAAGACGATATTCATACGTTTTCAGTCGAGATGCCTACAAATCTCCAAGGTCTAGGTGATGGTCACACAAGAATTCGTGATAGACAAGCACATCGCCAATTAAGAGAGGATTTGATTGAGAATATATGGAATAAATTTGGACATCTTCCAAATAATTAATAAGTTTTTTTTAACTTTGTATTAATTAAATAAAATGTTTGTAACCTTTAATTAATATGTTTTTTTAATAATTATTTGGAATTGTATTTTGTGTTTCTTTTTATTTTCAAATCAATATTAATATAAGTTTACTTTTTAATGTTTTCTATTTTAAAACTAAATTTTTAATTTTAATATACTTTAAAATGTTTTGATTATTAAATTATTAATTCATATGATCTAAACATGTTCTACCAATAATCAATTACTTTACAAAAGATCTTAATTAAAGCTCTTATAATATTTTAATATTTTTCCTCCCTTAAGATCAATCTTCAAAGATGCACCCTTGCATATGCTCTAATAGTCCCAGGTGTATAATAGCTAACACAAAGGCCTTGAATGATTGGTAGATATAGTGCAGATTAGACTAAAGTTAAAGTCAGATTACTCCGCACATAATGTACTATTTAATAAATTGGACTAATATGCAACACTCCAGACTACAAAACTCCATACTACTACAAGATATATTGGTCTAATTTTTTTATTTTACTCCTTACAAGCTCCATACCAACTTCATATCAATAGTAAAAATTGGACCAAAATATCTTGTAATAGTTATTACTACCTATGTTTCAAAATGTAAGATGTTTTGAAAGTACTTAAAATGGAGATTAAGAAAATTTGTGATTTTAGCCAAAATATTACTCCCTCTGTTTCAAAATATAGGATGTTTTGATTAAAAACACACATATTAAGAATTTTATTTTTTATTTTTAAAAGTATTATTTAATATTTGATTGAAAAATTTCAACCAATTACAATAAAGACTGCAGAATACAAAGAGTCATAAAAATCAAATGTATTTAAAGTTTGTCTAGAAATTTGTAAAACATTCTATATAAAACAAAATAAAAACTCTTAAACATCCTATAATTTGAAACAGAGGGAGTATTTTGATAAAAACACTCAATGAAAACCAATGAAAGAGAAACAATTATTTTATTTCTTTAATTTTAGGGGGTGTATTGAATGATGAATTTAGAGTGATTAGAGTTTTATTGAGTTTTGAGATGATTTTAGTGATTTAGGATTTTGTTATTAAAATTTTCTCAAATCTCACATAAAACCATGAGATTTGTATCTTTTTATTTTTAACTAATAAATTCTTTGAAATCTCACCTAAAGTCACTCAAATGACTTCAAATCCACTACTTAAAATGTTTCTAATAACAATAGATTTGATTGTTTATTTTAAAATTACTAATCTAATAACAATTAATTTTAAAATTTTTTTTAAAATTTATATTTGAATAATATAGGATTTGTCATTTTAATAAAAATTACTCCAAATCTTTTATTCAATACACCCCCTCTCCTCTAGTTTTCGTTTAGTTGACCAAAAAAAACAAAGTCTGTTTAGTCAATTTATCCATCCAGTTCACTAGTAGTAATTTGACAACGGAGTTGGAACGCTTATTTATCAAAGAAAACCGGTTTATTTCCACCGGTTTACCTTCCGCCGTAGATATCAGCCGCAATGTACATTCTCGACACCGGAGCTCGATTCTCCGCCGTCAGATTCTCACCTTCTCCTACACCTCTCAGCAGACGATACTTCATCGTAAGGTCTCTCTCTTCTACCTCAAATCGATTACTTCTCCATCTCCGTAACACATCTCTGATCTCTCCAATCGTTTCCGATTTGTGTCTCTCAGAGCTACTAATCTTCCGTTTCCGAAGCATCAAGCTAAGTATCATAAAGAGCTTGAGGTCGCCATTGATGCTGTTGATAGAGCTTGTCGTCTCTGTGTTGATGTACGCTAAATTTTCACCCCTGCTGTTTCTCAATTTCAGATTTGATGAATATTAAAGTTTGGGTTTTGACAAATATTTAGGTCAAAAGATCGCTTTTTTCTTCTAAAGAGAAGATTGTTGAGAAGAATGATCAAACTCCAGTTACAATTGCAGATTTTGGAGTTCAAGCTTTAGTCAGCTTGGGTACTAGTTGAGGCTTTTCTTGATTGTTGAATCAATAGTTTTAAGTGATTGATGTTGTAGAGGTTCCAGATTGAATCTTATCTTTGCTTATTTGTGATTGCAGAGCTTTCGAAAGTGTTTCCTTCAATACCTTTGGTGGCTGAGGAAGACTCTCATTTTGTGCGTGCTAATAACCTTGTAAGCTCTGTGGTAAGTGAAGTCAAATCAAAAGCAAGCATTGGAGACAATGAGTTGTCTGATGCTGATGTACTAGAAGCAATTGACAGAGGTGGAAAAGGTGCTTACGCTTTTTGCAACAAACCAGCTACTTATTGGGTATGTTACATTTTAGCATGATATATGAAGGTTTCTCTAAGTTCCATTTGTTACGGTAGCTATTTGTTGTTAATGTTAATCTTAATAGATAAGATGTTTACCATCCACAGTAGATTGTCCATTTGAAGTTTGTAAATCGTGGAATGTCATACTTGAAATGAGAAGTGGGTAATCGATTTTTGTGTCCACTCGAAACAGAAGAAATGGCACTAAAATGGCATATCTTTTGTGTCTAGATGATACTTTTCAATATACTGTTCATGCTGTCTGCAATTCGCTTATAAATAATACTCTGTCCATTGATCTTCTGAAGGTTTTGGATCCAATTGATGGCACAAGAGGGTTTCTTAAAGGAGATGACGCTTTATATGTGGTATGTCTCTTAACCCTGCGATTATCGTTTCCTTGTAGTATTTTAAAATGTTTCTTGTGAGAGTTACTGAAACTATCTTGTGGGATTGATACATCCTCAAAAACCCTCCTTTCTTAGCTCTACTCGTTTTTTAAAATTACTTTTGGAAAAACACTACTGATAAGTTCGGAGCCATGAACAAGATAGATTTTTTTTACATGCATATGAGTTGGATGTGAGTTTTCAAGTTTTCAATTCTGTTTCTGATATTCTTTTCTTCGTCATAATTTCTTATGAGTAAATCTCAGGTAGGATTGGCCCTTGTTGTAGATAATGAAATTGTGCTAGGAGTCATGGGCTGTCCAAACTGGCCAGAAGAAATTTCAGATGGATCCACCGGAACCCTAATGCTGTCGCATATAGGCTGTGGAACGTGGACCAAGAGGTTACAAAATGTCTCTGGCAAAGTAACCGGTGACTGGACAAGGTGTTTTGTTGATGCCTGTGTTTTAATGAACAAAGCAAGGTTTTGTATACAAGAAAGCCAAACCTGGGAATCACTTCCTCTCTCTGGTTTCTTCGACGCAAGTATAGTTTCAGAGGACTTACAACATAAAGAGATTCTTCTTTTGCCCACATGTTGTGGAAGGTATCTCTACTAACTATCTCTCTACTAAAACACATGAAAGTTTTCCATCCAACAAGAAATAGTAATGAACAATTTTACCTCTTTAGAGTTAAAACTATCACTTTATAATCTACGAGTTGCTTGTATGCAAATTATGACATTTCTACTCAGTTCAGTTTCCTAATCTGTGTGTACAGTTTGTGCAAGTATTTGATGGTAGCTTCTGGCAGAGCATCAGTTTTCCTTCTCCGAGCCAAAACTCAGCGAACGATAAAGGTAGTCAATTGTTTGATCCGGATCTATGCACAACACAATCTTTTTCTTATTTTGTTCTAGCGAGTATTCTCAAGAGATTGTCTAAAAACATGTAGTCGTGGGATCATGCTGTTGGGATCATATGTGTTCATGAAGCCGGAGGAAAGGTTTGTGAAATCTTTATACACTATCTCAAAGCCATTCTTGCTATACCATATATTCCCACATAATTTCATCGATAAGAGTCTTAAAAATCGACTAATAACAACGACATGGTTTGCTCTGGCTGGCCAATTTACTCATGATTCTTTATGAACTTGGGAATCTAACAACCTAAAAAAGAACAAAACATTTTTCATTCTGATGATCATGATCTCTATTTGAGATCTAATATTTGGGTCTGTTTCGTGGGGTCTAAGTTTCTTGAGATATGGACTGTCTGTCTCGTCAGGTAACAGATTGGGAAGGAGATGAGATCAATTTGGAGGAAGATCAATCAGAAAGGAGGCTCATTTTTCCCGCGGGTGGTGTTGTAGTAAGCAACGGAAGTCTACATAATCAGATTATTGAGATGATCACTTCTGCTTCACCAACTTTTTGATTTATGACTAGTCTCTACTCTCTATACACATATGAATTTCTGAGATTGTTTTTACACAGATTATTTATACTGTGCTAACTTCAAGTCAGTTATTTTAAATGAATTAGATGTAATTCTTTTGTAATAAGACTTTTTTTTAAAAAAAGGAAAACGGAGATGTGCCTTTAGTCAAGTGGTTAAGTCTATTTGACTCCGCATTCTCCACCGGAGTTCGACTCCACTAAGTCGCGTTACCCCGCGTAGTAAGGATTGGTTATGGATCGGGCCTTGTCGATCTAAAGATGTCAAAAAAAAAAAAACATTACCGACCGAAAAAGAAGAAAAAAATAGAATAACATAATTTCACATGGAAAAAAATAGTGATAAAAAACATAAATTTGTGGAAATTTATAAAATATCTAAAACTTTTTGGACGTTTTTACAAAAAAAAAAAAAAAAAAAAAAATTTTACCAGAAATATCATGGTTGAAAAAAAGTTATACACAATGTCACATTGGAAGATGTCTTTTGCAAAATGTCATATTCTTATTTTTTGCATAGGAAACATTGACGGTTTTACTCTCAGAGACTTGGACGTTCTAGAATAATGAAAAGGGAAAGGAAATTAAATCGTACAGAACCGCTTTATATCACATATGTAATCAACATTCTCCAGAATTGGCTATTTTGAGCTCTAATTAATTTCGGATGACAAAAAAAAAAAAAATTAAATTCTCTATAAAATGATGCGATGTTGAAACGGTTTCGATAGATATGCATTAATGGTGAGCCAACATAAGGAAGACTCTATAAATTAAATTAAATTAAATTTTAGCTGAAGGATATGCATAATCTGTAAATTTAATTTGTTTTTTGGTTTACTTAGAGATCCGGTGGTGGATAAGTTGTGATCCATGGACAAGTTGGGAGAGCACATACTTGTCCATTTGTCAAATATGTTGCTGACTAGTGGAAGTTGTAAGCGAAACATGTCCATTAAGCGGAGTTATATTTGGAAAAGTTATGAATAGTGTTTGGTTACTAACTTGTCCATATGGTTAATAATTAGATAAGTGGTCCACAGACAAGTTGGAAAACTGTTTTCTTTCTCTCTTCTTTCTCCTCTCTTTTCTTTTGGCTAATCCTAGATGTGAATCCGATAAGCCTCTCAAGTTTTCCCTTACGGCACCTGAAAGGGTCTTCTAATCCTGCTTTCTTTCTTAGTTGCTCTGCTGTCTCACAGTCATTTTCTTCCGCCGGTTGCGGCAGATCTCTTTCTACTATGGAATCTTAGTTGGTGGTTCGGTGCTTGGTTGGGTCCACCGGTCGTGTCTCGGTTCTGTTGCTCCATTTACATTAGAGATAGAGTCGTCCATTTACACTGGTAATTAGTAGTTGCCGACGAACCCTAGTTAGAAGATGAAGGGGCGAAAGATATCTTTTACAAATAAAGAAAATTGAAAAGAGAGATGGGTACACAACAAAAAAAATAGAGATTTTTTATTTTAATATAAAAGCTGACACACTCATAAACTATTTGGGTTAAAAAGCACGGTTAGTTTGGTCTTTATGTTTCCCTGTTATGGCATCCGTGAAAAGGTTTTTGAGTTTATGATATTTCTAAAAATAATGAGTTTATAATATGGAACTGTCTTTAATTATCTCAAAAAACATTATTATCAGAAATTTAAAACTTTGAAGGTTATAACAGAAATGTACTTTTCAAACATTTTAATACTCCCTCTGTTTCATAATATAAGTCGTTTTAGGTAAAAGCACGTTGATTAAGAAGATCTACTTTTTAAAAGTTCAACCAATTATAAAAGAGACTGCATAATATAATTAATCATAAAATATTAAAGTAATATATAATTTATATTGAAACTCGAAAATGACTTATATTGTGAAACAAAAAACTTTATCTAAAACGCCTTATATTATGAAACGGAGAGAGTAATATAACTAACTATGTTTTAAGTAAAATAACAATTTACAAACATTCATTTATTTCATCTATAAGAAAAAGTATTTATTTTATCATTTAATGGTATTTTCATATAAGAACTCTAAATTGTGAATACCATAATCCCAACATCATAAACATTAGCGGATGTCTTAATTTTTGTTACAACTAAATCTTTATTCGCAAAATCTAAAACCTAGATAATCGGAGATTTCTGAATCTTAACCATCGTTTAAAACTTGTAGAAACTTACCATCACCAAAATTTATCCCAAAAATTTGTCATTCATTGTATGTAATGATGGTGTGTTCGCTAGGAAAATATGTCACTAAAAATAAAAATAAAAAACGTGAGATGAAGCATATATACTTTCCCAAAAGCATATATAGCCGGCCACTAGATATATCGACATATCGTGTAGCTTTGTTATCTCTTTGCTTGCTTGCATCTACGTGTGAGAGATCATATATTTTGTTTAGCGAATTATTTACATTTAGTCATTTAGAATCTGCCATAATCTTGTATAGATTTTTTTTTTGTTCGGTATTCTTGTAATAGTTTATAGTAGACCGTGATTGTGAGGAAAGAAAAGGAAAAAATTCACAATTCAGATAGTGTCTTTGTCTTTCCACTAGCTAAATTCTATTTCGTTATTTTAATATCATTAGCATCACCTCTATTATGAAACCTCCAAGAATAGAAACCACTAAGTTTAATAATTCAAATGTATATTATATATAGATAATGATATAGCTTTACTTTACTAATTTATATTAAATATAACATGGATGCAATTTATGTGGCACATCAACTCCACAACTATTCCGATATCGTGTCGCATATTATAGTTTTCTTTATAAATAAATGTTATCTACACAATAAACATGTAATTAATTATGTATGTGTGTGTGTGGAGTCTGGTCTTTGTCTTTCATCTTTCAACTATTTAGGATTCAAAGAGCTCGTTGTTGACGTATCAAAATCTGGAATAATGCGACGATAATCTCTACGTGACTTGATTTTATTTGAACATATACTAATCAATCCTATTTTATATTTAGAAAAATTAGGCAAGTATCGCATATATACATAGTATGTGGCTACATACTATTATTGCCTAACTCTTTTGTCCATGTGGCTTCATAACAGCGAGTACTGATATAATATAACGAAGTTAAAATATTAAGTGTAATTAACGTTGAGAAAAAATCAATAGTCGATATAGAGAGTGAAAATTGACCTACAAAACAAATATATCTTTAAGTTGATGCCAAATATACAGAGTCGTTTCTATAAAATTCGATCCAAGTGTGTGAACACCATCTGTTTTCGCAAATTCTTGTAATTGCGCACATGTTTCTATTACGTTTAAATCAATCGAGCTCTAAGTGATTTATCCATTGTGATATACAGATCCAATATTAACGACACAGACATATATAATTAATAAAAATGCTCAAACATGATCAACAAATAAGATATGGTCAACTTTATGTTGTAACACGTAGACTGCTCTTTGTGGCAAATTCATGCGCAAGCAAAGCCTCTAGATGTTTGACAGGTTTCTACCCTAATATAGCATCACTAGGCACTAGCTATCTTCTAATCTATTTTAGTTATTTATTCCTTTATTAAATCTTTTTTATTTGATAAAGTGATATAATTTTATTCTCCTTTTTTATCAACTACTATACTTGTTCGTTCACATAATTTCGCACTTTGCGGAGTTCTTATTCGTCGTTAAACCCGACATATTCTTGAATTGCAAGGAACGAGAGACGTTAACATAATGTACTTATATTTAACTATATAGTATTATAATACATAAATGTGATTCGATCATTATTCCTTTCAGTACTAATATATTAATCACCACTAATCTATATCTTCCTTCCTGGTTATTCGAAGATTTTTGTCTATAAACTAGCTATATTGTCCCTATGTAAATTTATTACTTGGATGCTTTTGTTTGTTGGAATATTCGAAATCATTTTTCTTTGCCTGAAATTATGCATATTAGGGCATATATAAAGGTCATATCCGCCAATAATATAGAATCCAAACTTCAAATCCTTTTGTAATTCATTGACTATAATTAGTTTGTTCTAGAGTTTTATCTACTCAAATATTCGAATCCTTAGGACATCAAAAAAGTAGTTAAGTAGTTAAAAAAACTCCATTTTAATTTCTTAGTTGTAAACTTGTAATTAATTTGTAAAGTGTCAAAACACCGAAGGGGAGAAGAGTCGCATAACTCGTGGTCCTATAAGAGGGATAATCGATCTGACGTCACGCCATGCAAAATGTATCAATCAATTTTCTTCTCACTTGTATATTTACTTCAAAATGATTAATATTAAGCCACCCAATGAATAAGAAGATATTTAACAAAAAATAAAAAAAATTTGATTGGAATTTGGAAGCATCACAAATTCACAATCCTGATCCCGTATTCAAAAATCTCACGCAGAAAAAGATAATAAGTCCAAAAGATTGGTCTTCATTTTTTTTTCTGGAGAAAGTTTGATGGGATAGAGAGAGAGAGAGAGGAACAGCTAAATTTGCTGTGTATGAATTAAATACCTTGAACTTGAATACATCAAACTCACGAATTTATTGGTTGGTAATGTCGTTTTTATAACTTAAATAAAACTTATAATTGAAATTTTATTGTAATTATTAAAAATGTTATACGAAATATAGTTTTTGTTTTTTTAAAAAAAAAATTTCATAGATATTAGAATTATTTATAAAATTTTGTGTGTCATACATGATTGTGTTAATTTATTAAATACTGCTGAACAAAAAAAAATTATTAAATAATTTTTCACGTAAAAATAAAAATTATTTTTAGAAGTTATGTTACCAAACTGTATTCAATATTCATAATCCCCTCCTGAAAAAATTTATCCATTTTATGTATATTTTTTTCTAGGAAAAAAATCCCAAGGAAAATAAAGGAGATGAGTTGAAATTGTGAGGAGAGGGAGAGTACGTGGCATCATAACTTTGGCGACAGCTAATGTGAAAACAGCCCAAAGCTACGGAGAGCGACAGTCCTCGTCGACGTCCATGTCTCTTTAGATTGTGATTGCATGGTTAATTACCATATCTATCAATTGATTAGCTAGTTAAGTATTATCACACAAGTTAATACATTAATTTATACAGAATTTCACTACAAATCTCCCCA